GAAATAGCCACCAGGGGTGGCGGAGGAGAAATGGCAGGAACCGGGACCTGGGGGCCTGGGCGGTGGCCTCAGCAGTGCCAGCCACTCGCCATCCTGAGTGAGGCTCTGCTCAGGCTCTGAGCCTAGGGATCATTATCTGCAAAATGGGGTGTCACACCCACCCCAAGTATTGTAAAAAGGAAGTGAGATTTGGGGGATGATAAAGGGTTTGGCAAACTGTAAAGCTCTTGGTGATCTGAAGTGGACTTTATAAACTGTGAAGAGAACTGCATAAATCTTTGACATGCTTCTCCCATCAGCCGGCTGAGCTCAAATCCAAACCCAGGCCCTGAGGGGCTGCCTCCTGTTGATCTAAGGGGGTACGGAGGGGCTGCTGAGTGGCGGTCCTCCCCGGCCCATTCTCCCTTTCTCTCTCTCCCTCTCTCTCTCTGGTGCACGCATGCATGTGTGCACACACATGCACATGTGCACACGCACGCACGCACACACATGCACACACAGCCTGGCTCTGGATTCCCCTTGGTTGAAGACACAAGGGAAGAAAGAAGACAGACAGCTATTAACTTCTCAGCTCGTTACATTGATGACCCTGCATCTGTGAACCGCTGGGCTGTACCAGGCCCACTTGCAGGTTGAATGTGCTCCAGGCACAGGTGGATATAGCCAGAGCACCTCCCCAGTGCACCCCACACCACCACGGACACACACGCGTATGCCAGAGGCTCCTTTCCCCTCCCACCGTGCTGCCGAGGAACCAACAGTGGCTGCCGAGAGACGTGGCTGTGCCGGACACCCGGCATTTGCCCTTCCGGGGACTGGCTCCACTCCTAAGCCACACGCCCCAGGAGAGTCGGGGCGTGCTCCTAGGCTCTAGCTCAGCTCTTGTGGCCCACCACCGGGACAAGGAGGGGGCACCAGTCTGGGGAGGCAGAGCTGCCACTGATAGAGGAGGACGACCACCTTCTCCTCGACAAGGCCTTGTTCACAGGCCTGGAGAGGAGCAGGTCTCTCTGTAAAGGTCTCCCTATGAAAGCACGAGCAGATGGGACCCCAGCCTCTCATGACACCCAAGCCCCACTCCAGTACGTTTCAGGAGCAGAAACTCAGTCCCGGAGGCACGTTTCGTCATTAATGCCATAGATTGTCAATTCCTTACCCAAGCCTTCTTTGGGCAGAAGTCCCCATCTGTGCTGAGAAGAGAAAGGACCTGCCCAAGGTGACAACAGTGTCAGGAGCAGAGCTGGGACCAGAGGATGGGCCTCTGGCTCGCTGTCCATTTTCCTCCAAGTACAGCATCCTGCTTTACCATTCATCTACTCAGTTCATATGTTAAGACTAAATGAGGCGCCAAACTCAGCGCTAAGGGTGAGGATAAAACAATGAACAGAACAAATTCCTCACCCTTAAGGCACTGACAGTAGGAATTACAGGGTCGGGATCAGTAGTAACCCCAGGGTTCGTGTTTGTACAGCATCCTACGATTTAACAATGCACTTCCCCACCCAGCCTCTTACTGCATCCTCCCCATAAACCCACAAGGGTTTACTCACTTTAAACCCCAATCTGCAAAGGAGTAAATGAGGCTCCTGCATTGCCCAAGGTCCCAGCTTGTGAGCAGAAGCTGAAACCCACGCCCTGGTGTCCCGCTCAGGCCCAGGGCCATTTCTTCACCTCCAGAGTGGACGTCTTTCCTTGGCTATGTTTTCAGGACCTAGAGGCAGGGTCATTTGCTTTTTTTTTTCCTTCCCTAGCACTCACCCCCACAACACACACACACACACACACACACACACACTCCAAGCACCTGGAACACAGCTACGTATTCAGTCAGAGCTAAATGAGAGCTGCCCAAATGCCTGAAGAGAAACTGTTGTTTCCCTTCTTCTTCTGAGGAAAGTGTCTGGGCAGCAGCCCTGGTTCACCTCCTGCCAGAGAAAGATGGGGGGAGGGCAGGTACCAGCCTGTGCCCTGTCCCCACCTGGCACCTGATGGGGAAACTGGTTGTGGGCTGGGCCCTCTGCACCAATCACCTGGTATTCTCCATCGCCCACCCCCCCAGGGAGACCCGGTATCTCCTGAGTTCCTAAGTCCCCAGCTCCATACCAGATCCTCTACCTCTCCCAACAATCCTGCTGGGGAGATGGATTTATCCTCATTTGACAACTTAGGAAACAGAGATGCAGGGAGGGGTTGCAACTTAGCCACGGTCACACAGCTAGTAAAGCGCCGGGCACTAGGCTCCCCGAGATCAAGGTAGCCCCACTGTCATCACCCTCATCACCTCCCAGGGGGTCTCTGAGGTCGCTTCAGCACTGCCTTGGCCTGGGAGACGGGAGCTGGATTCCCTAGGAAAGTTTGCCCACGAGGAATTCTTTGTAAACATGAGACTCAGTGCCTGAGGAAGATGCCAAAACAGTTCCTTAAAAACAGAACCACCATTTGCTTTGGTGCAGTCTAGGGGCATGACCTTGGATTCCTGAGGACATTTCCATATGCCTCCCCCTTGCCAGCCAGGGCTGGGACCCCCCCTTACCTGGACGAGGAACAGCGGCTGCAACTGCGGGATCTGAGTGTCTCTGTCTGCAGACCCAGGCTTTGTGCTTTGTGGAAATTGCAGAAGTGAAGAAACAGCATGTCACTGCCCCGTCACCCCTGGGAGGAAACGCTGTGACCCTAAGGCCCCTCTGGCAGATGCCACCGGAACCTCCAAGTTGGGTCACCCAGGTCCCAGACACTGGTGGAAAGTGTCTCACAGGGCAGGGGCAGCATGGGGTGGGGGCAGCAGCCGCCGTGCCGGGGAGCTGGAGCGAGAGAGAGAAAATGCAAGAGAGAGAAAGCAAGAAACGGGCGAACGTGCTCAAGAAAGAGAGAAACGGAGCATGCCAGCGAGGAAGAAGAGGAGACAGGAGTAACTGAATGACCGAGGAAACAGAGTGAGAGGGAGTCGGGATGACGCGAAAGAGGGAGGGAGAAAGGCAGAAAAATGTAAACTCACAAAGAGCACACGAGAGGGGCGAGGAGACACGAGGACAAAAACCAAGGGAGTTCAAAGAGGAAAAGATAAGACAGACAGCGCGTGCCTGTGTGTGCCTACGCGTGTCTCTGTGTGTCTGTGTGTGAGTGAGAGAGAAAACGCATGCAAGAAGGGGAGAGGAGGAGGAAAGGGTGAGGCAGCTCGAACACAGAAAGGACGAGAAGGGAGGCGCTCAGAAGAGCCACTGTGTCAGAGGCGGACCGACTGGGCTGGGCATCCCTGGTGACCTAGACGCAGGGGCCCGAAGAACTCCTGTTGACAGAGCCTACAGACCTGGGGGAGGAGGGAGGGGGCGTCACAGTAACCTGAGCAGGAGTGAGTGGGAGCGAGTGGGAGCGGAGTGAGGGTGAACAGACGTGGGCCAGCGAGGTGAGTTTGGGAGTGTGCGTGTGCGTGTGTGTGAGTAGAAAGTCAGCTGGGCGGAGGCTTTGTGTGCACATGAGTAAAGGATGGGCCGGAGCTTCCTGCCTCGGTTTTTAATCCATTTATGCACTCATTTTTCAATCAGCATTGATTGCACATCCTCGGGCACTGGGCGCTGTAGGGGGCACCGTCTAAGGAAGCTAGCTCCTCAGTCGCTCCAGCAGCCCCCTACACAGAGAGGGAAGCAGGTCTCGGCAAGGCCAGAGGCCCATGGCGAGGCAGGTGCAAAGCAGAACCAGGAATGCAGGCTGCGACTCCCCGCGATTGGCACAGCCTCCGTCCACCCTGGGTGTCTGGGCGAGCCTCCTCTGCCAACCGGACACCCACTGCGTTCCCTTATCAAAACTAAAAACCAATCTCAAAGGACAAAACACCCCCACGTGTGCCTCAGCCCTAAGACCTAGAGCCAGAAATCTGTTCCCTCTCCCCCAGCTCTGCCCCTGTCCCCCACAGGCAGACACACTCAAACCACTTGTGCATAAAATCCTTGCATGCGCACATACTCTCAGTACATAGTATCATGCAGAGACACTCATTATTACCTCCCTCCACCCGTATGCACACGCAGGGGCCCACATCTATCACACCCTCACACCTGCCCAGAGTCACTTCCTTCCTCAGTTCATTCACCCACAACCGCTCCGCAACCCCCACCACCCACCCTCTCCTCAAATCTCCCTAGGCCTTCAGTTAGGACTTTGAAAAGGCCTGTTTGGCCATCTCCTCCTCTCCCTTAGAGGCCTTCTGGACCTTGAGTGCCCCGAGACACAAGAGGACCTGATCTGGTCATGGAGTTCGACCTTCGTGCAAAGTGTCCACCTGAAATCCAAGGCCCTCACTCTGCCCCCTAACCCAGAACTTCTTTCCCAAAACGGGCTTCACCTTCTCAGCCATCCTCCAGCCGCCACGCTCCAGGAGGGACATCAAACCAAGGAGGGACCTCCAGGATCAGCCAGCCCCCAGGTGGCCGCCATCTCAAAGACATCTCAAAGACCAGGCCTGTTGAGCTCGGCCTGTTTGTCTATAGTCTCTCACACGTGTCTGTGCAGCAGAGGCGCAGCACTACCTCTTATAGATCAGCAATAAGCCAGGTAGGCAGGCAGAAGTTATTGTCATTATTAACAAAGGAGCAAACCAACGCTGACTCCTCCTTTCTCTCGTACCCACATCCATTCTGTTAGCAAACTCCATCAGTTCTACTTTCAGATATCTTCAACTCTGTAGCTAATCAAGCCTTTAGATCTAACCTTCAGTTGTAGCAAACGGAGGACGGGGGGACAGAGAAATGAATTAAAGAACCTTGCAAGGAGGCGGCCAAACCCAGAATGTGGGAAAAGGACATGCTACAGGGCAGCTGATCCAGTTCCTTCGACAGGCCAACCACCAGGGAGCAAAATGGGGAGGAGACTATTCTAGATTGAAAGACACTGAAGAGACATAAAAATGAAATCCAACCTGTGGATCTTGTTTGAAATCCGGATCAACCAAATCGACTTTGTCAAAATCGAATCAAATAAAATATATCAAGAAAAGACATACGTACCAGTCAGGGTCCCGGAAAGAGATGGCACACTCTGATTTTGGGTTTCTGGCCTCCAGAGCTGTAAGAGAATAAACATGCATTGTGTTGCCACCAAATTTGCAGTAATTTGTTACAGTAGCTATAGGAAACTAATACAGGCATATAGGGATGTATTATACTCTTCCCTCTCTTTTTGTGTATGTTTGAAAAGTTTTCTGATAAAGTTGTGTTTGTGCATGCCCAGTTCGCAACACTGTCTATGAAATAGTCCTGCCAAGGAAAGAAAAACAAAATCAGCAAGTTCAGCCACCAGTTTACAGAAATATAAAAGAGGAACAAACAGATCAGAGGGTATACTCAGCAAACTCGGTACACAGTGAATGCGCAGAACAAACAAGTAAGTGATAAGGGATAAAAAAGATGACGGGAGAACCTACAGATCAAATGAGAAGCAGGGGACATAGCAACATACTGTTACCGGTGAGCCTCTTTGGATCCTGATTCAAACAGGAAGGAAGAAAGGAATGGACAGAGGAGGGAGGCAGAGAGGGAGGGACGGGAGAAGGAGAAATTTATGAGCTAATTAGAAGTTTGAACACATTGGATATTGTTATATTAAGAAATTGATGTTAATGGTTAATTTAATGGTTTCACAGTTATGTTAAAAAAAGGATTTTTGTCTTTTTGAAATACATATAAAATATTTGCAGACAAAAATAATATATTTGCTTCCAAATAATATGGGGCAGGCCTCAATTCTAGAAAGTGGGCTGATAATTGTTGAAACTGACTGATGGCGTATGGGGATCCATTATACCATTAAGTGCACTCTTACATGTGTTTTCAATTTTTTATAATAAGAAAAGAGTTTTTTGTTGTTTGGTTTTAAAGTAATTTAGCTCTTGTTTAGATTTCAGAGCTCAGAATGATGATGAAAAAGGAGACTGTCCTAATGTTCTACAATGGATAATTCTGTCTTGGGACACCATTTTCCTGGGACAGCCTTTTATTATGTAACAGCGTCTATGATGTTAGGTGCTGTATCTCACACAACGGGCAAGGAAACCAGAATGATATAACCTGGAAAACTCTGCTAAATGATAAAAAAAAAGAGCCATAACAACAAAGATGCTGACATCAAAGATGCGCATAAACGGTTAAATCAAATGGTTTCATGAAATTCGAGAGTGGGGAAAAAAAGCCTTCCAATAACATTTTAAAAAGGATATGTTCTGTTTTAAGGTTTTATTTATTTCTTTTTAGAGAGAGAGAAAGGAGGGAGAGAGGGAGAGAAACATCACTGTGTGGTTGCCTCTTGTGTGCCTCCTACTGGGGACCTGACCTGCAACCCAGGCATGTACCCAACTGGGAATTGAGCTGGTGACCCTTTGGTTCATAGACAGGCACTCAATCCACTGAGCCACACCAGCCAGGGCAGATTTTTTTTTCATTGGCTTTAGAGAGAGAGGAAGGGAGAGAGAGATAGAGAAATATAGATGTGACAGAGAAACATTGGTTGCCTTCCATATAAGCCCCAACCAGGGATTGAACCCGCAACCTAGATATTATGTGCCCTGAGTGGGTATCATACCTACAACATTTTTGGTGTATAGGATGATGCTCCAAGCAACTGAGCCACCCAGTCAGGACCTTATTTTTAATTTTAAACTAAATTTGTAATTTCACTTTCAACTTCAAATGATGAGAGAAAGAGAGAGAGAGAGAGAGTCAGACACTTTCACAGCCTCCACTGCTGTGGCCCTGGTTCTAAGCCACTATCATCTGTCACCTGGATGTGTGGTCCTTACTGTTCTCCTTGCTTCCACCCTTGCACCACTCTCTCAGTCTGTTCTCATCACAGCAGTGAATTGAGCCTCTTAAACATCAAATCTCATCATTCTTCCGCTCAAAACTCTCTAGTGGCTTCCATCTCACTTAGCAAAAACTCCCAAGTCCTCAGAATTCCCACAAAACCTGACCTCATCTCCTGCGTAAAGCTCCCTGCACTCTCTACTCGCATTGGCTTCTTGTTTTCTTCGACATACCAGGCGCGCTCCTGTCTCAAGCTTTCCTCAGGTCTTGACTCAAATGTCACCTTCTCAGTGAGGACTTTCTTAATAACCCCTTCTCTGACAAGTCCTAGGCCCTTACACTGTTTTATTTTTCTCTACAGCATTTATCACATCTCACATACATTTTGCTGCTTTACTTTGTTCATTATCTGTCTCCCCAACTCAATTGTTAAGGTCTTCGAGAGCAGGGATTGTTCGTTTGCTTATCACTGCATTCCATTATCTGCTCTGGAACACCGCCTGCACACCGCAAGTGCTCCTCCATAGAAGTTACTGAATGAATGAATGAATGAATGAATGAATGAAGTTAGAGGGGAGGAGATGAATCATCCAAGGTAACACAGCTGGTAGGTGGCAGAACTGGAATTCGAACCCCACCATCCTAAACCCCAGATCAGCCTTGCACAACTGTTTTCCAGGCTTTGCTAACCTCTTTCTGCCCTCTCCATCTGTCCTTCATGCAGAGAGGTGGGGACAAGGTGGGAGGAAGAACACCATAGGAAAAGAGCATGGGCTTTAGGATCAGAGACTTGAATTCAAATTCAGACCACCACCAACTCCCTGTGTGTACTTGGGAAAAGGCAGTTTACTCCTCTGAGCCTTAGTTTTTTAATCTGCAAACTGGGAATAATTGTAAGTACCTCACTGTGTTGTGAAGAATATGAAAACAAAAATGGTTACAAAGATCAGAAAACACCAGCAAAACTGTCATTTTCACAGGCAATAAATTGTTTACGTAGAAAACTTAAAGCAATTTCATGGACAAATTATTAGAACTAACAAAAACTTCAACAAGATTTCTAGATATAAAATCCCTTCCAGTCTCCAAAACTGTGAGAAATAAACATCTGTTGTTTATAAGCTAAATAAATAAATAAAATCAACATATAAAAATCAATGATGTTCCTAAACATAATCAATAAATAGAAAATTTCATTTTTTAAGAAGACACAATTTATAATATCAAGGGAACTATCTCGGTAAATAATTTTTTGGAAGCCAAGATGTGCAATTTCCTCTTGATTCAGTAAATAATTGTTGGAAATTCAGTAAAAATTGTTGAAAAATAATTTTAAAAAACTGCAATAGATAATGCAATACATACGTGAGACCATCAATATCATAAAACTGTAAGTTCCTCCCAATTTAATCTGAGTTCAGTGCCAGTCCAATCTAAATCCCAACAGATGTTAATAAAACATTAAATAGAGTACTTGGGAAAAAAAAACCCAATAGGTTATTCAAGGAAATTTAGTAAGCCAATCCCAAAATTCTAAATGAAAAGTCAAAGGTCCAAAACTAGCCAAGACACTTTGGAAACAACAGGATACGTGAACAACCAGGGCACACCACAGGATTTTCCCTATCATATATTAAGTCTTATTATAGAGTGGCAGTGTTAAGACAGGGCGATATTAACAAAGGGACAGCAAACAATCCAAGGCAACTATACAGAGGCCCCCAGGAGTAAAGGGCACACATATGGAAACTTGGTGCCTGCGACAGAGCTGTCATTACAGACCAATAGGAGAAGAGTGGATATTGGTGCAAAGCACTGGCTATCCATCAGGGGAAAATATTCATAAATCTAGATCCCATCCTCACACCGTATTCAGAATCGTATTCCAACTGGCATTGAGACCTAACCATGCAAAGCAAACTGTAAAGTTTCGGAGGAAAACAAGGGTGAATATATTTGTGATCTGAGGGTAGGAAAATTTTTCTTAAGACACAGAAATTACAAACAACAAAGAAAAGTTGGATAAGTCTGACCACGTAAAGTTTAAAACCGTGTATTTCAAAAGAGGCTGCAAAAATAGTAAAGAGGCAAGTCACAGGTCAGGGAAGATATTTGCAAGATATGTATCAAAGAATTTTCAGGCATAATGTGATGTAAATTCCTACAAATTAATAACCTAAAGACAAGCCCAATTTTTTTAAATGGGTCCAAAAAGGAACAGACAATTCACAGAAGGGAAACGCCTTAAGGCTGAGAAAGATAAAAATATAATCGATGTTTCAGGAAATCAGCCATTCATATTAAAACAAGCAACCACTAGACTGGAAAAATTAAAGTCTGCCAATTTCAGGGGCTGCAGAGGATGTAGAGCAATGGAAACTCTCAGGACACTGCTAAGACGAGATTACAAATGGCACCATCATTTTGGAAATTAATTTCAAAATAAAGTTGAAAATACGCACATCATTCCTAGGTACAGTTGCAATATTAATATATATTTGTGTCTACAGTGTAATTTTGTAAATATGTTAAAATGAACAGAACTACACATAACATAGACAATGAACACAATGCTAAACTAAAAATGCAAGTTGCAGAAGGACAAATGGAGTATGATACTAGTCTTAAAACTTTACGATGTTATTACTGTCATGGACACAATGCATATGCATGAATATATAAAAATAAATTCAGGACATAACTATCTCTGGAGAGAGAGAGAAGGGGCAGAGTTAGTGAGGTACAAAGAGGCTTCTATCATACATCTAATATGCTATTTAACTTGGCAGTGGGCACACGGGCATTTGTTTTATGTGTGGGTTGGTGTGTGCACACGTGTGTAAACATGAGTCTGGAATTAGCCAAAACACTTTGGAGAGTGAGAAGTCAAAAAACATACCACATCATACCAAGCTTTTATAAATTACAGCACTTAGGACAATGTAAGCACAAACGGTGCAAATGAACAGGAATTAAGGAAGAGTCACTAGAGAGGAAGGGATTCCTATAAAACCTGAGACCCCTTTCTTGGGTGGCCAGCCCAGATGCCTGACAGCCTCGAGTCCTCTTTGTTCTCGCCGTTATAACCTGTTTCTCTCTCAGACCAACCCCCCCCCCCCGCCCTCTCACTCACTTTCCCACCCTCTCTCTCACTTACTCATCCTCTTGCAGACTTGGGGGGCTTAAATCCCCACTCTGCCACTTAACAACTGGACCACCAGAGCCTCAGGCCCTTCATGTGATAGGTGGGGGTGGCAGCCTCACCTCACAGAGGATTAGGTCTGTAAAGGACAGTGTCTGGCAGCTAGTCCTCAGTCTCCTCTCTCCTTTTCCTCTTCTTCTCCTGAATTCTGTTCCTTTGCCCGGGACTGAGTCTTACCTGCTCTCCAGCTCCAGCCTGAGCACACTTTCTATGACAAAGTGAGCACTGCTCAGGGGAGAAGCCCCAGCTTGTGAGAGGAGTCACGTAAAAGGTAACCTCAGGGGTGTGGCCAAAGCCCACGGGGTGAGGTAACAGGGAGAAGATCCAGGCCTCCAGGCCCAGGAGCTCAGAGGCAGGGACAGTCCTCCCCAAGGACTTAGGACAGAAGATGGTTGGATGGAAGGAGCCCTCGGAGCAAATAGGGGCAGCTGCCTGGGTGCCTGGGCAGGGGGAGGGTATGGGAGAGCCCCCAAGTCTGGGCACTGTTCTTGGAGCCATTACCGCTACAACACCCCTATGACAGTTGTTAAAGAAAGAGGTCTCACCCTGGCTGGTGTGGCTCAGTGGACTGAGCATCAGCCTGCAAACCAAAAGGTCACCAGTTCAATTCCAGGTCAGAGCACATTCCTGGGTTGGGTGGCAGGCCAGATCCCTGGTTGGGGGCTGTGCAAGAGGCAACCAGTCGATGTTTCTCTCCCTCTCATTCTCACTCCCTCTCCTCTCTCTAAAAAATTAATTAATTAATTAATTAAAAAACATATGAAAAAAGAAAGAAAGGTCTCTAAGAGGTAACTCAGGTTTCCTCCAGAGTGTGAAATTGGGTGGCTGGAGAACAAGGATCAGAGGGCATCTTTTCACTGTGTATTCCTTTAGATCTATTGAACTGTAAATTTTGCACATGTGTTACCTCTAAAAAGTAAACAGTAATAACAACAACAACAATAATAATAATAAATTAAAGAGGTGGACTCTGGTGTCAGACTTATCTATGTCTAAATCCCATTGCTGCTTCTTAGCCAAGGCGCATTGGGCAGGTGTCTTAACCCCTCTGAGCCGAAACGGAAACACAGCTATAAAATGAGGCTGAGTATCTACTTCACAAAGGCACTGCATAATCAAATAAGGTAATACATGAAAAGCATTGAGCATGATATCTGACCCACAGTGGCATGTGATGAATGCCAGCAAGCTTTACATATTAACAGCTCGTGCTCGGTCCCAGGGCATAGGAAGCGGCACGGAGTCCCTCCAGCCATGCTCCAGGATGTGGCCAGGACCTCTGACTCTGCTCCTGGATGCCCCACGATGGACAAGCAGGGCTGGGGTGTGGGAGAGGGGTGAGACTTGGGGATGGGTGTAGATAACTGGACCCAGTCCTTGCCCCAGCTAAGCAGTAGCACCCCAGGACACTGGGGACCTGTTCGGGGGTGAGGGGAGTTGCTGGGATATGTACAGATGGCTGCATGTGTGTGTATGTGTGTGTGTAGGTTTGTCTGCAGTGAATGAAGGGACTTCCACGCCTCTCGGTGTTTATCAGCACTATTGCCCAGGTTGTGTGTCTGTGAGGATGTGTTTCGTCTTGTGCTATATAATAGGCATCACATGAGGGGACTGTGTCAGTTGTGACAGTTTGTATATTATGTGTAGTGAAGGGTCATGGGTTGTATCCGTGGATGCCAAAGAGTCTGTTGTGTGCCGCGTGTTTGTGGAGGGCCATGAACTGTGTGTGTGGGTAAGGAGGCTGTGCTTTGTGTGATGTGAAGGCATGCTGTGCCTGTTGGGGTTGTGTATGCTAAATGTCTCTGAGGAGTGGAAGAATAGGTGCTGTGTCTGTGAGTGATGAGGGGGACTGTGTGTCCCTGAGTGGCTGCTGGTGGCAGAGAAGTCAGATCTAACCCAGCTCCAGGCCCCTCTAGAGCCTGACTAACTTCAAGATTTCTGAGAAGCCACTAGACAAAACAGCCAAACCCAGCCCTCTCATACAAGCCACCAGCCTCTTACCTGAGAAACAGCAGGGAGAGTAGTCTAGGACGTGACAAAAAGGCTGAGGGGCTGGGGGCACCTCTGAGAGCATGTTTCCTGGAAGGCTTCTGAGGGAGCTCAGGAAGCTGGGCAGGGAATGAGGGGGAGGCAGAAGGCAGGTCCAGGCCTAGGTGTGTGTGACTCACTTTCCTCTCTGCCCCAATCCCAGTTCAGCAGTGGCAGGATAAAGAATTAGGGGAGGCCTGCCTGCCGGCTCTGCTGGATGATCATGGCCCAAGTCCAAGAAGCCAGCTGCTTGGGTGCGGCCCCAACCCAAGGACGTCAGGAATATTCACCTCGAGCCAGGGAGTCTCTCTCTCTGCGTATCAGCTCAGCCAACACCCCAGGACTGGCCCACTCTAATGAGAGTGTCCTCTCCAGGAGGAAGAGCTGGGCCTGAGCTGGCAGAGGAGGGAGAAAATGGGTCCCTTGTCGGAGGGGGAGGCAGGCTCTGATCTGGGAAAGTTCCCAGCCCTGTCCCCAGAGCCCGCGCTTCAATGGATACAGTGACATCTACAGTGAGCCCCAAGCTGGTGGAAAGAGACCCAAAACTGCTTTCAAAAGATACCCCTAAATGAGGGGACACACAGCCAATCTTGCCCACAGGCAATCACCATCCAATGGGTATGACACAGTGACATAACCTACCCACAGGTGCCCCCAATTAAGGGAAGAGACAGCCCTGCCTTCAGGGATGCCCAATCTGCTGGGAAACAGAAAACCTGCCTTCTGAAGCTACCCCTGTCTGAGGTGGAAATGCAACCACCCCTCCCCTGAAACCCCAGTCGGAGGGAGAAGACCGATCTTTGCTCTGAGGAAGCCCATTGTCTGGCCAAGCCAAAGGGCAATACTTCTGTCTGAAGCCTAGGACTGTACTCGGAGCTCCAACTTTGGGTGTTCTGAGCTGCAAGTTACTCCTTATCCCCACCTCCACCACCTGCTCGCACCACCACCACCACCACCACCACCACCACCACCACCACCACCACCACCACCACCACCACCACCACCACCACACCTGATTGGGCTGAGCAGGAAGCACAGGTGTTAGGCTACAGAGAAAAGCAAACCGGGCCAAGGCATAAGCGGACATTCTCCAATAGCAACTCTGAGAATCCACCGGGCCGGGATTTGACTGCTGCCTCTAGTCTTCAGCTCGAGCCCCCCACCGTCTCTGAGCCTGAGGTTCCTGGGTCAGTACCGCTAACACTTACTCTCTATTATACCCAGGGAGATGCCTGATGTAAAACAGGAACTCAGTAATTGAAATCACTTTATTTGCCCAAACTCCTGCCTTGTGTCCCAGAATTAGGGGATCAAATCCTTTCTCCACATCAGTTGGAGAATTTGTTAAAAATGAAAGTTTAAAAAAGGCAGTTTCTCATATTTCATTTCGAGAGATTCGGATCCAGCAGTGCTGGTGGTGGGGCTACCAGTAAATGAATTTTTAACAAGCACCAAGGCAGGTGGCCCACAAGCAGAGCAGGCTTGGAGGGACCCCAGAGGAAACCAGGGACTGGGGAGGGAGGGTTCAGTTACCTAAGGGCTCTTTCCAGCTATGCTTACCTACATCCTCTCCTTAAATAAGGGCTGCCCACTGAGCCACACGGTGTGGGGTGAGGATATTGGCATCTCTGACAAAACCCCGAGCTCCGCCCACCTGATGTTCCAGCACAGGCCGAGTTAACCTGGGAGGTCGTTAAAATTCCAGCTGTCTCCCCACCCCCCACCCTGAACCCTGATTCTGAATCTTCAGGGACAGCAGAGAATGTCTTTTTAACATTTCCCAGGTGTCCTCAGTCCTCTGCTCTTTCACCCAGTTCTTGGAACTGGGACCACCGTGCTGGAAGAGGGGGGCAGGGAGAAGTACTCACTGTGCGCCCAGCTGGTTTTCTGAGCTCCTTTACACACAGGACAAAAATAATGAAGAGATGAGGAAGCTGAGGCTCAGAAAAGTTTCAAGACTTCAGTCTGCCTGACCTCAAACGCAGGCCTGTTGCCTCCATTTGCAAGGTTTGTTCTTTTCACAATCAACAGAATATCATTAGAATTCGTGGAACAGGTACTTCACCCTTGACTTACCAAAGAGGAGGAAGCTAAAACCCAAGGAGGGGAAATGACTCACCAGAATGACAATGGTAGTAAGTGGTGGAGCAGATCCTCAGTAAGGAATTCTTGCTCCGAGGCCATTCTGCACCCGTTCTGCAACACTCAGGATCAGGCATCCCCGCCTCCCATTTCTGGTGGTGAGAAGCGCTTGATAACCTCCAGCAAGGGGGCGGGTGAACCAGGTGTGCTAGGATGACTATGGGGGTGGAGGACAGGGAGAGGAAATGGAGAGAGGTAAATCCTGCTTCATTGAGGTTCCACCCTCACCGGCAGGCCCAGACTCAGCTGCAGCCTCCCGCGCACTTACTCCACTTTCCACCGGGGCTTCAAGGAAACAAGAGGGGCCAGAAGGTTGAGCACCAGCCAGCTGCTGAGAGACCACAGCCCAGAGGGTGGGAGGTTGAGGGTGGAGAGGTTCAGGTGACTGGATTGCCAAAGGCCATGAATGATGCTTTAGGTGGCTAATTCCCACTTTACATATAAGGAAGCAGAAGCTCAAGTATTGGTGGTTAATTCCCACTTTACATATAAGGAAGCAGAAGCTCAAGCATTGAAGTCTCTGGCCCAAATGCCAGGATTCCAACCCTACCTGTCTGACTCCTTCCACTTCTCTGCCTGCAGTAGCCTCACAGGAAGCAGTTGGGTGCCCAGGGGGATTGGGGGTGGGGGTGCTGGCTATCTGCTGCATTATTCACAACAAACCACAGGAAGAGGAGTGAAGTGGCTCACCTAGCCTTTCAGTCTCTCTGGGCCCCTGCACCCCTCCAGCAAGCCTTTCCTGCCCAGAGCCCCTCAACCTAGTCACAGATGAAGGAGCTGGAGAAGCTGCCATGGCGACAGGCCCACCCTGGAGGCATGTTGGCTAATGCTTCCTCTATTCCAAGCCCAGTGAGCACCCTTCTCCCTGGCCCAGTGATCGCTAAATATATTGCTCTGAGCAGGGTTGAAAATGGGCTGGAAACTACTGCTGATCTGAGTGGGTCTGCGGCTAAAACATGCCAGAAAGGAAATGGGAAGGCTTTGATTCTTCTGGGAAAATAGGGTGTCATGCTGAAACCCAAATTCCTAAACATGACCTGATTCACCTGGTCCCCTCTCAACCTGCATCTCGGCTCCAGGGAAAGGCAAAGGACTTTCAGTGTCATGAGTGGGCTGTGCCCTTGCCTCTGAGTCATCACACATGCTGTTCCCTATGACTGAAACATCTCTCCCTCAAGTCCTACCCTACCTGCGCCAGACACTTAAGTCTTCCCCAGCAGTCAACCTCCCTGTCTTCCTTCCTTGCCAGCATATCTTATGTGGAAACAGCAGATGCCAGCCACAAGGACAAGTCCTGGTCTACGACCTGCCCATTCTTCTTTGCGGTTTTCCCCAATTTATGGTTAGACATGGCCACCTGGCCATTTCTGGCCAGTGAGGTCTTTGGGGGAAAGTTTGACCTCACAGATGAATTCTTCCCACTTGGCAATTGGTGTGATGTATGGTGCTGCCACCACCTCCCATGGAACTGTGTGACGATGAGATGACACAGTCTTCTGGGGGACAGAGGGGGGGCACAGGAGGAGCCTGGTCCCCTGGTGGTACTCTTGAGCCCATGACAGACACCTGGAAGTGCTTGCCACCAGACTTATACTGTAAGCAAAAATTCCCCTATGTTTATGCTACATATTCCTTGCAGCTGAAAAAATTCCTAACTGATGCACCGGCCTCTGGGTTCCAACTTTAAAAAGGTCACTTCCTTTAGGAAATACTAACTGCTAAGAATGGGAGGAAGGGCGCTCTCCTCAGAGCAGCGGGCGCCAGGCGCCTTTCCTGGTCTCTCACTGTTCCTGCATGGTGCACTCTGCGGTGAGGCCGGGAGCAGGGGTCCTGCCTCTCACTGTTCCTGCATGGTGCACTCTGCGGTGAGGCCGGGAGCAGGGGTCCTGTCTCTCACTGTTCCTGCATGGTGCACTCAGCGGTGAGGCCGGGAGCAGGGGTCCTGTGGCGTCCACCATTTTCCTCCTAAACCGGCACATTCGTTGAACGAATAAGCACACCCACAGCTGGCTGCTGGCACAACCTCGCGGGCGAAGCCTGGGCCCAGCACGCACGGGCTTGCAGACAGTCAAACCATGGCAACCACATAACCTCTAAGGAAGAGGTGGCGCGTGCACACACATGCTGGAATGAGGTGGTGTCACCTTGCCTGATAGAAGAGACAGATGTTGCTCCTGACACAAGACAGTCTGAGTGACTTCATGACATGTGTCGCCTGACAAAACAGTTCCCCCTCTGCCTTGGTCCAGCTTTAACCGCCCCCACCCACCGAGGCTCTCATTCTTCGGCAGCTCAGATGCACTCAGCTGCGCCTGGAAACACAGTAGGACACCCAAGCTTCCGTCCCCTCCCATAGAGAAGCAAGTCAAAGTTGCAGTATCTCTTTTCTTCTTTTAAGATTTTATTTATTTTTATTTATTTTTTTAAAGACCTTTTGACTTTTTTTTTTAAGATTTTATTTATTTACTTTTAGAGAGGGAAGGGAGGGAGAAAGAGAGAGAGAGAAACATCAATGTGCAGTTGCTGGGGGCCATGGCCTACAACCCAGGCATGTGCCCTGACTGGGAATCGAACCTGCGATGCTTTGGTTCACAGCCCGTGCTCAATCCACTGAGCTATGCCAGCCAGGTAGATTTTATTTATTTTTAGAGAGAGGGGAAGGAAGAGAAAGAGAGGGAGAGAAACATCGATGTGTAAGAGATACATCGATTGGTTGCCTCTCACACACCCCCAACTGGGGACCTGGCCTACAACCCAGGCATGTGCCCTGACTGGGTATCAACCAGTTTTTTGGTTCACAGGCTGGCACTCAATCCACTGAGCCACACCAGCCAGGGCCAAAGCTGCAGTATCTCTTGATACTACAAGACACTGTCCCTTGTGATTATGCCTTTTTACCCACCTACAAAACATTGTAAAAAGTCTAATTTCAAGTCACCCATTTCTCATATCCTCGCATTTTAGGTGTCACCTATTTCTCACCGTATGTCCCTCACCTCTCAGAATCAGCAGGACATTTGAGTATATACAATAAGCTGTGTGCTTTCACACATTATTTAACTCTCAAAATAACCAGCATCTTCATCGAACACAAAAAACATTGGCAACACCCATTGAGCACTGTGGAGTTTCTTCACATATGCCATGGCTACTCCTCCCTAAAATCTGCCATAGTAACCTATGTTCCCATTTTGTAGATTAAAAAAAAAAAAGAGGTTTAGCAAATAAGTGGTAACTCCAAAGGACTTCAGGGCTGGACCAAGCCAGACAAGGGACCCACCTCTCGGAACAATACCTGAAGAAGACTACATCCATGGTTAGGGTATAAAAATTTATTACATACAGAGTATTATCACTAACGAACGCAGACAGGCGAGGACACAGTGGTGCTGGGCAGAGGACAGCCAGCTCTTTGGAAAGTGAACAGGTGTGGGCGGCTCGGAGCCTCATGCCACACAGACTGGCCGGGCAGACGGGAGGACACATGCCGAACACTGCGGGGCGTCGGGCAGCGAGCCGCCGCTGTGCGCCCACTGCCTTCCCCGTCTGGTCTGGGGCTCGGAAGGATGCCAGATCCAGGAGCAAAACAGTGAAGCAAAGGGGCTTCCCAAGGTGGCTCAGGCTTGTCTCTGAAGTCACAGCAACACCATTTTAAGCAATATGTTTAATTGGATGATTTCCACACACTACACACGGAGTCTCTAACCATGACAATTCAGTGAAGTACAAAACATTAAGTTACAGGCGGGGGAGAGAAGGCAGCACCAGGGGTGGCACCTTCTAGTCTTGGTTGACCTGGGGAGAGGGAGGTTTCTTTTTAAACCGAGCCCCTTATTTCAATGTACAAAAGAATTATTCTGATTGATATTAAATTGTATTGAAAACAAAATGGACTAAAAAGCAAATACTATTCTATGTGGGGTGGAAATGGGAGGAAAGAATGAGTCCTTCAGAGCAGGAGGGGAGACAGCTGGGGAAGGGTCTGTGGTTGTGACCCGGGTGGTCACTCACGCTGCTCCATTTTTACTTTTGGTGGTCTCAGGAAGGTCCGGTTTTTCTTCTCTTTCTTTCCTTTTGTATTTGCTTGGAAGTTTCGCCAGCTGTCCACACGACCATCTCGACTTTCCTAAACACAAAAGAGGTTTGAGGGAAGGAAAGTAGTTAATAAGAGAAAGGGCCTGAACCTGCTATGCCATCCCGTCCCCACTCCCCCAGTAACCCAGCTTGGCTGTCTGGCACCATCCAAGAGCAGAGCAGAGCAGAGCAGAGCAGAGCTTTCCTCCCACTTCCCTGGACCCAGGAAAGTGTCATACCACCTCTAGAAGGCGGGATAAGCCAGTGGCAGGTTGGAAGAGAACAAAATGAGTAATACTCATCTCAACAATGAGGCCACCATTTGTTGGGGACCTCTGGGCTAGACATTTAGTATACGCTATTTCTAATCCTCAGAACAAGCTGACTGGTGTGTGTGGTGCCACCGCCATTTCACAAACGACAACACCAACGCTCAGAGAGGTTAAAGCATGTTCTCAAAGCCATATGGGTAGCCAGTACCCCAGCCACTCTTTCCACTGCGCCTTTCCTACTCCCCACGAAAACCTGGATGGAGGCTCCACGCCAACCCCAGTTGTGCTGGAAGTCCTCTGGGATCTCCTCCTCTTTAACAAGGGACCTAGTCATTTTCTCCTTATTCATACATGCAGTGGCACAGAAACAAAGTCAGTCCCTACCCTGACAGCCAAATGTTACAGAGGACCAAATGTTACTCAGTGTCACACACTACTAGCTGAGCACCTGAAGGACATAACTAGGGTGTCAAAGAGAAGTCAGGTGCAAAAGCCGAAAGTTTCTCTACAAACTCCACGTCTGCCCCCTAAATTAAAGGTGCAGGCCATTTTTTCTTGAGCCCCCTGGGCAGCTTGTGCCTACCACAATCTCTCCACCACCATTCAGGGACAATCACTGCCCTTGCGGAGGCTACAGAGCTTTATGGATGGTTGAGGCAGAACAAGACTCACTTTCCAAAGCATCCCATTTCCCCGTCGGCCCCAGGCAGTCCTGGAATGCTCCAGGAACCAGTTTCTACACTGGGAGGTTCTGTTACTCTGAATAAGAATCCCTGGCCACCTTGGAAATTTACCTCAAAGTTTTTCTGCCACTCCCTTTCCCGTTTGGCTTTTTCTTGAGCTTCAATCTCTTCTTCCCTTTGTCGCTTCCTAGGAGGGAAACCAGACCACAGCATTTACATGATAGTTTAGAGACGGTGTTAACTGCACAGTTAAGGCAGCTCCCCACAGAAGCAAGCATACCCAGCAAATCAGTTCCCTAGGGCTCCACAAAGCTGGCTGTCTGGAAGGGGCTCCCAGCAGCTCCGTGAATGTCTCATTCTAAAACATGCAGATGAGGCTGTGGGGCAAGAGGTAAACTCCCCTTGCGCAGACAGACAAGACAAGATCATCAAAGCTCAGCCAACCCTAATCAGAGGTTTTGGGCTCAGCCACTGATAGAACTATCTCGAGAACCCAGGCTACCTTACTTCAGCACAGTGACCATTACAGTAGCAGAGGTTCTTACTCAAGAGGGCCTCTGCACAAAGCCCCATCCCTCAATAAGGACATTTCATACAACCTCGACTAGCACAGCCTAGTCATTGCTAAACACCAACCAACGCCACAAAATACATGAACTAATTAACCTCAAGGTTTCTGATGAGCCAGGGAAACCATAAGGACAATAAACACGGTGTAAGTGACCACACAGTAGTACTCACCAAACCTGCAGCCACTAGTCACACAAAAGGCTCTGTCCTCAATAACAATGGCCTCAATAACTGCCTATTTCACTCCCGGAAACCAGGAAAAAAAAAAACCCGGCACTCTTGATTATAAACTCCCTAAGGACACATCTATTTAGTATTTCCCAAAGTCAGAATTTCTTAACCTGGTGATTCAAAACTTTGACTGTTTCAGTAAACTATTTTAGACAATCTCTTCAATGACATACTGCATTATTCCTTCATGAGGAAAATCCCCAAAGAGCAATGCTGGTTAATCTAGGTATTTAGATACAGTTGAAATGAACATACTGATATATACCTTTCATGCATCTCTTTGGCTTCTCTCTCCTTCCTTTTAATTTCCAGCTCAGCAAAGAGTTTCATGGTCTGCTTGTACACTGCTTGTTTGAACTGCAAGAAAGTTAAGAACAAAACAAAATAAAGTTAAGTATTTCACCAGCTACTTGAATTGAGTACTTTCAGATGGAGCCCAAGACAAAAGCTGATTAGAACTCAGCAAAGAAAAAGAATCCTCAAAGAGAACCACTCAATGATGCACTCTTGGGAGATACATAACACATGTGCCTGTGAGATATTCCCCCACTCTCGCCATTCAGATAATGCACAGAAAACTTGCTCTAGTAAAAATCAACAATAAGGAAAAAAGCCTACCTACTCATCACAACCATTTGAGATTTTGGAGGGCCTTCTCCTCCAAAGACCTTCTAAAAATAACTTTCATTTTTTTCTTTTAACAGACATTTTATGATGACTCTGTGTTAGGCATGAAGTGCCTACTAGAGATACGAAGCTGCTACCAAGCAGACCAGCTGTCAGACCTGCCTACTGATGGGCAGGGTTACTAGTTGCTACCTCCCCGACCTCAGTGTCTATTCTCCCTCCATTTAAAGTCCCATGCCTTAAGGCACATGGCCACACCACATAAAAGCCTACGTTTCCTAGGTTTCCTTGTACAGTCGCTAGGTGTGGTCCCGTGCCTTAAGCTTTAGCCCATGGGATACGAAGAAAAGTGATGTAGCAACTTCCAGGTTGTTCTTAAAAGGAGCAGGCTTATCCCTTCTAGCCCATTTTCTCTATTCTGAACTCTGAGGATGGGAGCAACATCACTGTTGGCAGAGTCACAAGAGAGAGTCCTTGGACGACACGTATCCCAGGGCTGCCCTACCAACGGCCATCTTCCCAAAGACTATCTTATGCAGGTGAGAAAACAAATGGCTATGTTGTTCCAATCACCATCATTTTGGGTCTCAGCTGTATGCAGCTGAACTTATATTCTAACTAATACACTGACATAAACAGTTAACACATTAGAGAGGAAATGGGTCTTTATCTTTAAAACTTTCCTCCATATACAAAGTATTTTAAATATACAAAGAAATATAGAATAATAATCCATAATCCATTATTCAGATTTCATAGGTCCTATATTCTAAAATCGGAGACACTGGAGCAGAGAGTAATATACGGGGGGGAGGAGTAAAGAAGCCCCAAGATCTCTCACTTCTGTTACTGCTGTTACCTGTCCACAACGAGAGCAATGCGGACGGACTCCAGTCCCTAATAAGGACAAACACCAAGGGAGTAAGAGGCTGTAATGAGTACTTTAATATCTTTAAAAGCTCTAAAATCTCCTGGATGAAGTTACTGGTGATTATCAACACTTTGTATTTTTTGCTTTTTCCAGATTTCCTATCATTAGCATTTTCTATCATTGTGTTTCTTTACAGTCAAAAAAACAAAAAGGCAACTAAAAACAGGGTTCTTAACTACTTAGAAAAACCAAGAAATATTTATAAGAGGGTCTTCAGAAAAGACTAGAGAGGATAACTACAGGAAAGAGAGAATAAGACTGAAGAGAAAAAGAACTAAAATAGTGGAACAGAGTAAACCCAAAAGAGGTGGCTAGTGGAAAATACGGACTAGCAGTTCACAAGCAATGTTACCACACAGCAGATGGACGAGTCACTGTTAGCAAAATCACTGCCGCAAGAGGAGTTGCAAGGAAAATTTCCCTAGCAAGACAGCCTCTCCTCCATAAATCTTTAAAAACAAAATACGTATATAGATAAGTTACATGCTGACCTAAATTGAGGCAAGATTAAGATGACTTTAAATTTTCAGGCTAAAGCACAGGTGGCAAACACAAGGCCTACGGGCTGAATCCAGCCCTCCATGTTGTTTTATCCGGCCCAGCACCTTGTTTCTACCTGGAGGCAGCACCAAGCTCTCACTTAACAGTTAAGGAGTAGTTACATCTATAGAGCCCTAAAATTACACCCAGCCCTTCAAAGGCAACCATGAGGCTGATGTGGCCCCTGGTGACAATGAGTTTGACAGCCCTGGGCTAGAGGCAAAAAGACATAAATATTTAAGGATAATCTGTCTCTTAACCAATCTCTACTAAATGACATCCTGGATTACCCAATGTTCTCCATGTCTATGTAAATTATTACCTAGCACACAAGGAGAACTTGCAGCTAGTAGACAGCTGTTTAAGAGTCGTTTGTGATTGCTCCCAAAGCTGTCTGTGCCAGTTCCCATTAAACTATACTTGTGTGATTTAAATACCACAGAAAGTAATGAATATGGTTATAAAAATGCTTGCTGTTTCTTTTAAAAAGTAAGTATTATGCTTTAGAAAAATTCAGGAAACATAAGTCCCTAAAAATAACTGCTGTTGAATGAGGTACAGGTGAGACATCTGGAAAAGACTAGAAAAAAATCATAAATATCTAGGATTTTGCTCTTGGTTTGTTTCACAAGTACCTAAGTTTTTCATGTACTCCAAAAGAAACTAAAAGTACTAGAAACTATGGATAATGCTTTATGTGTATGTTTCATGAAATAAATTCAACTACAAACTCCAGAGGGCTAATACACACTCAAAGAAAAAGGCCACGGCCCTATGTGAAAAAAAGAGGTGAATTTTTTAAAAGGGTGAACAAACGTACACTTGGTATTTTAAGTTAAAATGAAATGTTTATAGCACGCATGCAGCGTTCTTTAGGCTCCCCTCTCGCTAGCCCACCAATCGGTGAGCCCAAGTACACAAGACAAGGTGGCTTTTCCCATCTTTAACTCACCAGTTCTGGATCATCCTCCTCCACATTCGTTGGTTTTCCTTCCTTCTTTAATTGCTTTTTTCGCTCTTTCACCTAAAAAAAATATTGTCATCAAAAATGAGCACTCACACTTTGAGAATATCCATTAAGCTGCACAGGCGATGTGCGTACTTTTCTATACGTATAACAATGCACTGGAAAAAGATGAGCCTTCCCCCTCCCATCCAAAACAGCAAGGAAAACTAGGAACCAGGGGTTCTTTCTCTAATCTAACCTAAAATCCAATCTCCCTGGAAGGATGAAAGGGGACCAGCAAGGGAGCTGTCCCCAACTCATTAAATCCTAGGCCCAACTGAAAGAGCCTTTGATAAAGTCAACACATTACCCATTTATCTTTCACAGTCTGTAGTTATGTGTGTATAGTAAAAATCTATGTATTTGTCAGGTTTTAGAAGAAGCTACAGAATGGTAAGTATTGTTTTTCTGGCATTTCTACAACTGCATTCTTAATCATTTTCACTATTAAACCACTTAAACCAGTAATTTTCACATCGTGTCAATTGGTGTTTTTATCACCTGGGCAGCCATTGAGATCCAAAATAATTAAATATACTCATTCACACAAGAATGACATTACTCCATTACACAATCATTCAGTGTTGTACGAAGCTCGGAAAGGCCGCACTGCCACCTTGTGGTCAGAAAGATTGAGGACGCTCCCTTGCAAGCAAAACAGGTGAGGGTGTTCACAATGACCCAAGCACAAACTGTCGGGTGCTTTTCTGATTTTTACCAGAATTAGGCCTACATACACCGTTTCCAACACATGACCAGCAGGACATAATTATGGTCGTCCATCTCCTCTAACTCATTCTCCTCGCCTAAACTTACAGTCATTATTATTATTGGTTATAAAAAGTTCTGTTTTCAATTCCAAAGCTCTTGAAAGAAAAGATAACATGCATATCCACTCCCAACTGACATATACCTTATAAATGGCCTCAAGATTCTTGCCCCGGCAAGGACAAATTAAAGCAAAGACCTTTCCTACCCAAAGCAAGCCACCTTAACATTTCCCACCACTCAGGAAATTTTGGTAATGCAAAAAAACACACCAGCTCCAACTACATTTATTTTAATTGAGCCCTTCCTTGTTGTTAATACAGACATGTAACTCCTTCTATTTTTTTAACAAAAAATTTATTCACATCCCCTTGCCAGCCTATCTCAAGCTCATGTTCCAACCCACTCACATGGACAAGCATAAAAACCAAGGGTCAAGTGTCCCCATACTTTTCCACTCTCAAAATGGAGTAATGTGACATGCAGAGAGGACGAGAAAAGCCCTCTCTCCACAACACAGGACTGATAAAGAAAGAGGCTGGATCGCTGCTGAGTCTTTTGGCTAAGACCAAGTAAAGGAAAGAGGTTGGAGCAGTGTCCTAGCCATTCCTCATCCTGAGCTCTAGGGGGTGGAATACAGCTTTAGGCACACACAATTCCTGACCACCAGGCAAAGTGGCGGAGACCACATAAGCAGTCACAATTATGCCAGTAGGCATTGCTATGTTAACATTAACCCTCCTACAAGGTGCCCAAGACTTGCTAATACTTCCTGTAAACACAGCAGCACTATAAATACTTACAGTGTGTTCCACGTATTCTTTTCCTGCCTGAATTACATCCAGGGCCCTCTTCTTTTGTTCCTGATCCAGTAGCAACTTGTAAGCTTTGTCCACAGCTAATGCAAAACATTGAAGTTAACTGTTTCTGCAAACACCCTCTGCAAGTCTGAACTATACTCAGGCAGTGTAAATGGACTTGTGCCATCTAAAAGCATTCCCTACTTTCTTAAATTATTTACTGTTGTTAAACTAATTAAAAAACATATAACTAAAACAATGACTTTCCTTGAGAGCCTGGAAAAAAAATTAAATATACACTCAAGGCTAAATACACCACATCTAGGTTTAACTCAGTGATAAAACACTACCAATTACTTTTTATGTTCACAGAAAAAAAAAGGATCCTATGCAGTAACAGTCTTGTTGGCACATAGAAATTTTAACAAAGTAAACTTAAGGTCTACTTCTTAAACAACATTTTGCTTTGGAATGACAACTTTCTATTGAAAACCAGCTTCTTCACAACCAGAAGACAAAACTATTACATTCTTTTCTTGATTCAGGATAAGGATCAGTTTGTCCCTAACCATGACAATATATTATTCAGAAGCAGGTAAATTTACAAATACCTTCAAAAGCCTTTTGTGCTCTGTCAGCATCATCTTGATTTTTGTCAGGATGCACCAGGATGGACAGCTAGAATAAGAGAAAGGTGTGGTTTGTCAAAAAGGAACACTGATGCCTTGCCTACACTCCTTAAACCAAAAGCTCTAAGGTACTATGGCAAAAGACCGTTTGCCAGAAGCATTTTTTAAAAATTATAATTATCATATAAAAGACCCAGAAACACTGGTCTTTAACAAAATTCAAGCACCAAAAGTGAAATGCACAACTGGGAAACAGGGTTATAATCACAATGCTGAGAACAAGGCCAGCATTATGAGGGCATTAGGATCACTTTGGGGAGACAGCGATGATGAAAGCTACCAAGTCCCTGTGAGGCTCCTTATCCTGGACACTAAAGAGGATATAACAGGTATGAGACATCTTCTCTTTCCCAACATAAAAGTGTGTTTCTCAGTTCTGGCTGTACTCTAATCCTGGAAGCTGTTAAAAAATGTCTGTTTTCCACCCTCAGAACTTCTGAATCAGTCCCTGGAGTCTGTACTTATTAAACCTCTACTAGACTGGGTATCAGACAATACTTAGGAATGAGAGTTAATTTTGTTAGTTGTAACAAGTAGTTACGCAAACAAATGTCCTTTTTTATTTGGGGGGACCCATCCTGAAGTACCCAGGGGTAAAGTATCATGGCACCTGTAATGTACCATATTTTTCGGACTATAAGACACACCTTTTCTTTTCTTTTTTTTTTTTATTTAATTTTTTTTCCCTCTTTCCTTTCTTTCTCCCCCCTCCCAAATTTGGGAGGAATAACGGTTGTTAATGCTGCTGTTGAGTTCTATTTACATTTACATCGGTGAAATATTATGTTATTTATATTATTAAATATTTTACCACATTTTTTGCTTCCAATTTTTTTTTCCTATTTTCCTCTAAAACCTAGGTGCATCTTATGGTCCGAAAAATACAGTACTTGTCGACAATTCAGCTAAAAATATATGGTTAATGAAGCAAACTGTTCCAAATAGATGGTGAGTATATGGGTATTGACTGCTCTATGCTTTCTTTTTAAAAGCACATATAATTTTTTAAAAGTTTATATCAAAATAAAAACAAAAATCTTCACAGGAGATCCTTTTAGATAGCCACAATTAAGAACCACTGACCTGCTGTCATGGACAGGCAGAAACCAATGAGTTGGAACACAGGGACTGTGTCAAAAGACAATGGCAAGTGAGATCTAATGCTAAATCCCACGTCACTGGAGATAGAATCCTGGGATCTAATGCCAATGTCAATCACCTATTAGCTGTGAGACCTTGAAAAACTCACTTAACCTATCTCTGCTTCATCTTTCACCTACATTAGGTACTTATTTACATCCACTGTGTTGTTTTAAGGATGAAATGAAATAATGCAAGTAAAGAACTTAGAATACTAATACACACTGACAACTGTTAGCATATAGAGGACATACCATATGCCAAGGCCTATTCTAAGTGCTTCATATGCATTTCCTCATTTAAATCCTCATAAGCCCAAGGGGTAGACACATTACATGCATTTCACAATTAAGGTAACAGGCACAGAAAGGTTGAAAGTAATGTTCCCAAGTTCAAACTGCTTGTAAGAGGTACAGCCAAGACTGAAACTCTCAAGTCATATAGCTCCAGGTCATATTAACTATTAGAAATGACTAAATAAGCCCTGGCTGGCATGGTTCAGTGGATTAGGTGCCAGGCTGTAAACCAAAGAGTTGCTGGTTCACTTCTCAGTCAGGGTGTACTCCTGGGTTGCAGGCCAGGTCCCCAGCTAGGGATGTGTGAAAGGCAAGTTATCAATGTATCTCTCACACATCAATGTTTCCCTCCCTCTCCTTCGCCCTCCCTCTAAAAATAAATCAATAAAGTCTAAAAAAAAAAAAAAAAGAAATGACTAAGAACTCTTATTGAGTTCTTTGTTATAGCTACATAAAAGTTGTTGACTATAGATTTGAATGCCTGCTTATAAAATTAGGAAAGACTAATGCAGAAATAAGGAAACTTGAAATTTTAGAAAAAAGAAAAACGCAAAAAGCTGAATACACAGAAGTTCAGAGTATAAATAAGGAAGAAAGAAACTGCAAAGTTATATAATGGGAAATGATTGAGTAGGCAAAGATAAAACACATCTTGGCTTAAGAGTAGATCACAAGATGATTATGAGTCAGAGATGTGGGGGCCGTAACTGTGCTCCAGAAGCAAGCATAACACTGGATGTTAACAAGTATGTCATTCAGGAGCTGAGAATAATACTTGGCAGTGGTCAGGCTCTTTTAAGTACACAGTACATCAATTTCCAACCCTTTCATCTCATGACACATAAACTAAGTACTAAAATTCTGCAGCACACCAAAAAATATACATTTTGCCTATGCTGGCCCCAAAATCACAATGCAAATAAGAGAATCATCACATGCTTACATTTTCAAAATGTTCAAACTCCATCCATTACAGGGAAATAGTACCATACCTGCCGAAACCTCTTTTTTATTTCTTCATCTGTCACTTCAGGATCTATCTGAAGAACCTGAAAGAATCAAAATCAAAACTGTAAAAGAAATTCAAAGAATTCACACATTTAAGAGATGCCCAATAATTATACATATGATAATCAATTATCTAGAACAGTACTCAGCTTTCTAGAACTGTGGCAGGCACACAGTTCTAAAAATGCTCAAGAAATACAAACGAGCAAATAAAAAATAGAATAATAGCTATACTGTTTCCGATTTGCAATTAACATAGTAGTTACTTTCACTCCATCAAAAAAATAATTTACCCTATATCCAGAGACATATTTCCAAACTGTGAGAAAATGCTGCACTTCATTCATCACAGAAAGTACCTACCCCTATCCCCTACTTACTTTTGCAAATGTGGAGAAGGCATAGAGCTCACCAGGGGAAAAAATGAGGCTGGCTACCTAATTTCTACCTCAGTTAGGAAATGCCCACTTGGCTCCACTTTAGATCTACCATTTATATGGCTAGATGGTTCTTAACCCAAAGTGAACGTTACAATCATTTGTAGAAACCTGAGACCTCAGAATGCCTGGGCCGCCCACCCCCTAGGAAAGTCTGATTCCAAATGGCAGAAACATCTGTACTTTTTTGAGCAACACTGTCTTAAAAAATAAATTTATTCATTCTTCTCCAAGCCTAGGTATCCTGGTATTGACATTTCTCATCAAGGATTCTAATCTCACCACCACAAATACATACATTCATTCAAACATTTTATATAGTGGCTACTACCTGCTAAATACACTGCTATACACTAGAAATGCAAAGATAAACAGGCAAGGAAACATTTTTTAATTACCATATAGTGAGTGCTTTTTTAGGAATAATGTTACCAGATATACAATTAAAGCAGATAATTTCATAGTGTAGTCCATGGATGCAACATAGCATCATGTATTGTATTTACTTGGTATTTAAGGCCCTGAAAGGGCAGAGAGTAAGAAGAGTTTATTAGGTATTCGGAAGAACAGGCCTACTTCAGTAGGTATGCACCAGAAATCAACATTTCAGCAGATCCCCTGGTGATCTGAATCTTATTAAAAGTTTAAGAAGCACCGATAAGAAATGACAATGGCCCTGACTGGTGTTGCTCAGTGGGTTGAACATCATCCCACAAAGTGAAAAGTCACAGGCTGGATTCCCAGTCAGGACACATGCCTGGGTTGCAGGCTAGGTCCCCAGTAGGGGGCACATGAGAGGCAACTGCATATTGATGTTTCTCTCCCTTTCTTTCTCCCTCCCTCCCCCTTGCTCTAAAAATACATTATAAATGAATGAATGAATGAATGAATAAATAAATAAACCTTGTTTTCCAAGGTGCTGAACAAGTTAAACAAAAAATAAAGTCTATGGTATACTGCCTGCTGAGGCCTTAAACTTACATAAAAACAAACAAAAAAAGGATCATGAGAAGGGCAGGACTGAACAGGGGCACAAGTTCATCAAAGCTTACGGAAGGAATTAGGGGAGGGCCCTTCACCTAAGAATAACTAGAATTATTCATAAGAAAGATGACTACATAATGGCTGAAGGTTAGAAATGTGTCTAAATAAATGGCTGTTGAGATGGGAGAAGGGGAAAAAGTACTCCCTGGAAAAGGATTCCTGTAATAAAACCCCTCCAATTCCCAGACTAATCTCTCCCTTTTCTACCTGCTGCTCAGTAAAGTAGTATATAAGACGACTATTCACATTTCAACTGATGGCCAAGATGACAGCTATATACTGCATTACTTCTCCTTACTAGGAAAAAAAAATGCAACTTTTACTTTGTCCATCCTATAGAGTGGCCAGCACACTTGTATGAAATAGAAAAAGACAAAAGCTCTAATGAAGTCCCATACACTCAAACAATCTCAAGCCTTCCTGAATTTGCCAACCTCCCCAGATCTTTACGTGTCCAAATATACTTCCTATAGTCAGACAGGAGCTAGGGTAGTGAGTTCCACTTCCAGAACCACATTAACAAATAGGGCATTAAAATTCTAGTCTTCATAGTGGTCCCAATGATATGTCACTTCTCATCAATCAGATCTCCACAGAAACACTCATTATATTTCCAAAAAAAAATAGCTAATTTACATGATTGCTTGACCCCTTTTCATGGTACTATGCTCAATTTAAAAGTATGACAACAACAACAAAAAAGAAAAGTGTGACTTAATAGAAAGAACATACCATCAACTTCTTTATTACATCTCAAAAAAATTATCTCCCCCTATGGCTGCCCTACCAAAATCATATCAAAAGTACTCTTTAAGCTTTTGGTCCTTCCCTTCCCTTTCTAAGCAATGCATTCCAAATACACAGTGCCAGGCAGAGTGGACATCTACTATAGGAGGGGAGTCAAAATGGCCCAGAGCAGAAGGTCAAAGCCCATCTGGAATAAAGAAGACAGTGACCACACAGGGAGTGGGAGCCAGTCACACGGTGTTAGAGCCCGAATGGAATGAGGAGAGCACAGAAGGGCACCGCAATGCCAAAGTGGGCTGGTGAGGGCATCCTAGCATAGGGTGTTACACAGGCAGCCTAGCACAGGGTGTCAGAACCCAAGCAGGGTTAGATAGACTGTCAACATGGGAGGGTGGCCCAGTGCAGGGTGTGAGAGACCAAGAGGACAGAAGAAGGCATTCTCATTGACGTAGAGCCCAACACAGGGTGTTTGAGACCAAGCAGGGTAAGGAGAGTGCCCACAAGGAAAGGTAGCCGGGCACCAGGTCAAGGAGTCCAAGCAAGGCCATCTCCACAAAGGAGTAGTCTAGCACGGAACTTGGCTTGTCCATGGTAAGGGGGGTGCCCATGCAGGAGGGCATCCGATGTAAAAGGGCAGCCCAATGCAAGATGCTGGAGCTCCAGCAAGATGTAGAGAGAATTTATGTAAAGTATAGTTGACAAAGAGAGTTGGAACCTGAGCAAAGTGAAGAGGGCCTCCACGCAGGAGTGTGGACTCAGGCCCAAGTAAATCAAAGCCCAAGTAAGATGAAGAGGGTAGAAAGGGTACCTGTTTGGTGGGGAGGATGCTATAGCCCAAGAGGAATGAAAAGAGCTCCCAGGGGGTGAAGGATTCCTTGCAGATGTTAACAAGGAACCAGAGCCATACCACAGGGAAAGGTGACCGGGCATGGGGGTTTTAAGCTCAGTTGTGGAGAGAAGGGACTTCGCAGTGAAGCAGGCTGGTGTCACTGTCAGAGTAAAGCAGGGTGAGGGCATTCACAGGGGAAAAAGAATGGCAACAGGAGATCAGCTGTATACAGAAGGGTCAATCAAGTAAATACATATATATTAAAGAGTTCTCACTAGAAAAGGGGGAAAAAAAAAACAACTAGAATAAACCCTGTGGTGTTGAATTAAAATTGGCTGTAAATGTGTATGTACATATACATACATTTCCTCCCTCTTTTCCTCCCTCCCTCCCAAATGTCACTCTGGGAAGAGTGACATCCCATTGGTAATGAGTACACCAAACACTCAAATCTTGATTTTAAATACGATTCTTCACTAAAAGGAACCAGGACTCCCCCATGAAATGGTTAATTCCAGGCTGGGTCAGGAAAAATACAAGAGTGCCTAGTAATCAAATGACGAAGACATATAAAGAAGACAGGAGTTCACTTGAAAGGTAACCTACTGGGCAGATTTGGGACAATTTGAGCATCAGAGTAAATGACACCTATTGCAAATATGACCCACTGAATAATATAGGAAACCACAGTCCATAATGACAAATAAATGAGTAAGTCGAAACTCTGATAAGGAGAGAACATTTACTTAGTCTCAAAGTACCTCTCCATAAAAATACTTATTAATTACAAAGGGAGGAAAAAGTAACTTCATGAACAAATCTAACAGGCAACTCTTCTAAGTGATCAAGTTGATGTGATCAGTAATGGGATAAATCGAGATCAAGTACCACTTCATAGGTGGGAAAGACAAGAGTGCAGCATCACTTCTGTGCGATTGCTGCCAACATTGCATAAACCGATTCTAATATGAAAAAACATTAGATAAACTCAAGTTGAGAGATATGCTATAAAATAACTAGCTGGTAATCTGCAGAAATGTTAAGGTCACAGAAGTCAAGGAAAGACTAAGGAGCTGTTCCAAACTGAAGACTGAAGAGACATGACAACTAAACGTAATAGAAGATTCTGAATTGAATCCTTTTGTTCTAAAGGTCATTACTGATACAATTAACAAATTTAAATGGGGTCTGAGGATTATACAGTATACGATGTTTTATGCCCTGATTTTGATGGTTATATTGTGGTTCAGTAGAAAATGATATGTGCAGGAAGGACACAAAGTATTTCAGGGCAATAGGGCAACATATCGGTAACTTAGTTTCAAATAGTTCAAGAAAGTCTTGATAGTGTACTTGTAACCTTTCTGCAAATCTGAAATTATGTTAAGAAAAAAAAATTCTTGAAAAATTACTCTTCAAAAAACAGAAACAATGGATAAAACTTGAAAATATCATGCAAAGTGAAAATAGGACAATATTGTTTGATTCCACTTACATGAGGCACCTAGAATAGGCAAATTCATGGACATAAAGCAAAACAGCAGTCACCAGTGGCTGGGGATAGGAGGAATCAGGAGTTATTGTTTAATGGGTTTGGAGTGTCTGTCTGAAATGATGAAAAAGATCTAGAAATGGATGGTGGTGATGGCTGTACAACACTGTAAATGTACTTAATGCCACTGTCATTCTATACCTACAACTGGTTGAAATGGTTAATTTAATGTTTTTTTTTAAATTTTTTTAAAGATTGTATCTATTTGTAGAGAGGAGAAGGGAGAAAGGGAAAGAGAGAGAAACATTAACATGTGGTTGCCTCTGAAGCGCCCCCTACTGGGGTCCTGGCCCACAACCCAGCATGTGTCCTAACTGGGAATTGAAATGATGACCCTTTGGTTCACAGTCTGGTGCTCAATCCACTGAGCTACACCAGCCAGGGCTAATTTTATGTTACGTATATTCTACCACACTAACAAAAAGGTGTTTGCCCTGGCCAGGTAGCTCAGTTGGTTAGAGTATCATCCCAATGTCCCAATGCAACAAGGTTGTAGTTCAATCCCTGGTCAGGGCACATGTAAGAATCAACAAACAAGTGCATAAATAAGTAGAACAACAAATTGATGTTTCTCTCTCCCCTCCTCTCTCTAAAATCAATCAATAAAAAGATTTTATTGATTTATTTTTAGAGAGGGAAGGGAGGGAGAAAGAGAGAGAGAAAAACATCAATGTGCGGTTGCTGGGAGCCATGGCCTGCAACCCAGGCATGTGCCCTGACTGGGAATCGAACCTGTGATGCTTTGGTTCACAGCCCGCACTCAATCCACTGAGCTACACCAGCCAGGGCTAAAAGTCTTTTTAATAAGTGTAATACATGTTATTTTTATAAGATGTTAACGATATTTATTTATAATTTATAAATAATTAACAAAATTATTTATAGTTGTAAACAATTAGAAGCTAATTTCAAAATCCTACAATAAAGGCATAGTTTCAATAATAATTATAGGAACTTTAAAAGGTTGTATAAATATAGTTTATGTAACGATGCATTTAAAATAGCATGAAGTAGGGTCTTCCAGTCAAGATGACGATATAGGCAGACATGGTTCGCCTCTTCCCACAACCACATCAAAGTTACAGCTAAAATATAAAACAACCATCATGCAGAACTGTCAGAAATCTACTTAAATAGAAGTCTGACCACTATGGAATTAAAGAAACTACATCCATCTGGACTGGCAGGGGCTCACAGGCTGGAATGGGCTGATCCCTCACCCACGCATGGTAGATAAAAGTTCAGGAGGGATATCTCCTGAGTAAGGGGTCCAGCCCCACACCAGGACCCCCAGTCCAGGGTTCCAGTGCCAAGAAAGTAAGTCCCCAAAACTTCTGGCTGCAAAAACCACTGTAGATTGAGTTTGCGTAAGAAACTCCTGGAGCCCCAAGCAGTTCCTCTTAGAGAGCCCACATACGAACTCACGTACTCAGACTCACTCCCTCTGAGCTCCAGCACTGGGATAGCAGCTTGAAAGGCACCAGTGGCAGATGAGGAGGAACTGAAGTTTCTGGCATCAAAGTGAGCACAGGCCATTGTCCCTTTTCTAAACTCTGCCCCCACAGAGCCAGCAAGCTGGTTTGATGTTCTCCTGAGACTCCATCAACGTAACACTGTTTGACCCATCCTGGAGATCCCCAGAGACCCTGCCCAACTTACAGACCCACCCAAGCAGCTTTTCCACGTGAATGGCTGCTCTTGGTCCATGCTTCACAACTTCCTAAACCAGGGGTGTCAAACTCATTTTCATTGAGGGCCACATCAGCCTTGAGGTTGCCTTCAAAAGGCCGAATGTAATTTCAACTCCTTAACAGTTAAGGAGTAGTTACACTTCTAAAATCTTAAAATTATTTTGGCCCTTTGAAGGCAACCACTAGGTTGATGTGGCCCCCAGTGAAAATGAGTTTGCATCCTGCTCTAGACCCTATAAACAAGCAACACATTGCTTCGGTGAGTCCCAGGCCCAGCACTAGCAGCAGCCAGCCAAGATTCATAGCTTGGCTTCTGGAAATCTCCAAGCCCACCACAAGTAGCAGCCATCTCAGACAGCTTTATAGTTCAGGCAGAATGGCCCTGGCAAAACACAGCTGGCGACTGACCTTGGTCTGCACCAACGGGGAATCCCAGGGCCAATGCACCCAGTGGACAGCTATAGACCACACTGGAGTACCACCACCTTGCCCCTGCACAGCTGATCCTCCACGGAGGGCAGATTTTCATAGTCAGTGGTCACAGCCAATCCTTGCAGGTGTCTAGCCTGGGTAAATCCCTCCCATTGATAAGCCAACAGCAACCAAGGCTCAACTACAAGAGGAAGGTGTACTCGGCCCACATGAAGGGCATACCTCAAATACCCAGCTTAGGCTATAGGGAAGGCTGTGCCAATGGACCCTATAGGACACCTACTACATTAGGCCATTATCAAGACAGGGGTCATAGAAGCTCTATCTCATACATAGAAACAAACACAGGGAGGCTGCCAAAACAAGGAGACAAACGAACATGGCCCAAATGAAGGGAGATCAAAACTCCAGAAAAAGAACTAAACAAAAGGGAGATAAGTAATCTATCGGATGCAGAGTTAAGAACACTGGTTGTAAGGATGCTCAAGGAACTTAGCGAGGACCTCAGCAGCAAAAACAACATCCAGTCTGAAGTGAAGGATACACTAATTGAAATAAAGAACAATTTTCAGGGAAACAACAGTAGAGTGGATGAAGTCAAGAATCAAATCAATGATTTGGAACATAAGGAAGCAAAAAACAACCAATTAGAACAAGAAGAAAAAAGAATCAAAAAAAATGAGCATAGTATAAGCAGCCTTTGGGACAACTTCAACAGGTCCAACATTTGCATCATAGGGGTGCCAGAAGGAATAGAGAAAAAGCAAGAAATTGGAAATCTATTTGAAAAAATAATGAAAGAAGACTTCCCTAATTTGGTGAAGGAAATAGACATGCAAATCCAGGAAGCACAAAGAATCCCAAACAAGATAGATGCAAAGAGGCCTGCTCCAAGACACACTATAATTAAAATGCCAAAGGTTAAAGATAAAGAGAGAATCTTAAATTCAACAAGAGAAAAGAAGTTAGTTATTACTACAGGAGGGTTCCCGTAAGACTGTCAGCTGATTTTTCAAAAGAAGCTTTGCAGGCAAGAAGGGATTGGCAAGAAATATTCAAACTCATGAAAAGAGCAGGAACTACAGCCAAGATCATTTAGAATAAAAGGGCAGATAAAAAACTTCCCAGACAAGAAAAAACTAAAGAAGTTCATCATCATCATCAAACCATTATTATAATGAATGTTAAAGGGACTTATTTAAGAAAATAAAGATCAAAACTAGGAACAATAAAATGGCAAAAAATACCAATCTATCAACATGAATATAAAAAACAAACTAAGCAAACAAGAAAAACAGAGACAGGTTAATGGATATAAAGAGCATTGTGATGGTTGCAAGATAGGAGTGGGGTGTAAGAGAATGGGTGAAGGGTAAGGGAATGGGTGAAGGGTAAGGGAACTAAGAAGTACAAACAGGTAGTTACAGAATAGCAATGCGAGTGTAAAATATAGGAAATGGAGTAGCCAAAGAACTTACATGCATGGCCCATGAACATGAAAAATGGGGGGGAGGGGGGATTCCCTGAGGGGAATGGGGGGTGCTGGGTAGAACAGGGGGCAATGGGGGAAAAAATCAAGAAAACTGAAATGCATAATCAATAAAATATAACTTTAAAAAAATTAAAATAAAATAGCATGAAGTATACATATGATCCTCCATAGGTTTTTTAAAAGATTTTATTTATTTATTTTTAGAGAGAGAGGAAAGAAACACCAATCAGCTGCCTCTCATAAGCCCCAACTGCAGACATGGCTCACAACCGAAGCATGTGCCATCACTGGGAATTGAACCAACAACCTTTCAGTTCGCAGGCTGGCACTCATTCCACTGAGCCACACCAGCCAGAGCCCTCCATGTTTTTTAATAAAACTTAAAAGTTTGAATATAAACAGTTAAGAGTAGCAATTTCTCTTAGAATTATACTTGATTATTCATTCTTGCTTTATGTTTCAAATTTTAAAAAGAAATATGACTTACTTTTATAAGGAGGAAAAGTTTAAAGCTATAACACTAAGGAAACCCATAAAGTATATTGGCTTGTCTAAAATCTTGAGATCATTTTTTTGTTTTGGGGATTTTTCATATCTGTGTGTGTGTGTGTGTGTGTAGTAAAACAGAAAATTTTAACAAGCAAACAAAGATTCTAAATTTCTCAAAGCTAGCTATCCCTTCACATCTGAAAATAAATCCATATATACTTGGGTACTTAAAATACAATGGAGAATATTTATAAGGCAAATATCATCTGATTTTCCCTAACATGCTGGCTCTCAGGTTCTGCTCACAATAAAGCTACCTAAGTTCAATTCCAACTATTCAATACAATACAAATTAAGTGTGTGTTCTAATTTAAGTCTGCCTGCAACTATGCAAATCTCCCCATCATGATGCCACAGCAACGTCAGACAGCTCACCTCAAATGGGTTCAAATTGAAGTAGGAGGAACCAGGACGGGTCAATCTTTCAATCTGATTTTTGGATGTCAGAACTGAATCTCTCTTCTCTATTTGTTTCACCTAAAATAAAAAGGATAAAAACTTCATTTAGTTAAAAATAAATTGAGTTGTCATCTTATGTTTAGCAAACATTTGTGTATCTACGTATACAAGCTATTTAGCTAACCACTTTGAGGAATAATTACAACAGCTGCCATTTGCTGAATTTTAATAACACGAAAACTTTGTACATGTTTATTCCACTCAACAATCCTATTCAGTAGATTCTATTACCCTCAATTCACAGATAACTGAGACTTAGAGAGGTTAACGAACTTGTTCCCAATTACCCAACTTGTAAACAAGAATTTTAATCTCAACAATTTGATGCCAGAGCAACCATCGAGAGAATTCAAAGTCCCATCCACCATCTTCAAAGAGTTTCCACTCTAATGGCAGAAGATGTACTCTAGTGTTTTCACACTTAATTTACAATTCTTTAAAGAAAAAACATGTCCTGGATGGTGTGGATTGAGCACCAGCCTGCAAACCAAAGGGTATTGGGTTTGATTCCCAGTCAGGATACATGCCTGGGTTGCGGGTCAGGTCCCCAGTGCGGGGCATGTGAGAGGCAACCAAACATTGATGTTTCCCTCCTTCTCTTTCTCTCTCCCTCCCCCCTCTCTAAACATAAATAAATAAGATCTTAAAAGAAAAAATGCAATTACACTGAAATATATATTAAAAGCAGCATTTAAAAAGTATGTGGGAGGGAGCAAATTCTTCTGCCTACCTAACTCTGTGACAGAGTTAGAAAAATTCCTGTCTTGAAGACAACGTGAAGGAAAACAGGCACTAGGCAGTCCCAGGAAAATATCCTTGGTGCCACTATCAGAGATGGAATGCCAGCTGGAATGAATGTTTGGTATGTTACTTACCACCATTATTCCTCTGGCCAAATGAGTTTGGAAAGATTTTCAAAACATAAAAAAGCCATTCCTTCTCAGCATCTTCCCTCTTCACTCTCTTTAACATACCATCCCACCCACCCACCCAATCTTCTTTCCCTGGCTTATTTTTCCTCATAGCACTTAAATCACTACCTGACACTGTGTTGTACATCTCGTTTCCTGTTTAATCCTTCTCTATAGAAGGCGAGCTCTATGAAATGAAGACCGGATTTTTCTCTCTGCTACTCACTGCCATAACTGCAGCACATAAATAGTATACTAGTACATGTCAGGTCCTCAGTAAACACTGGTTGAATGATGATTGAAGGGTCCTCCTGAGGTGCTTTCTCTCATCCACGTCAAACAAACCAGGGTTGCTTTTTTCCCCTTCTTTTTAAACTAAGAGTTGGAAAGTGAATCAAGTTCCACTATAATTGCTGAAAACTTTCAAGTGAATGAGGCATTTCAAAAGGACAGACTACAAAAGATGTGCTCATTTCCATTTTTAAATGAAATACTTTGAAGAAACTACTATGTAACACACATCGTTAAAGACACCGGAGGTAAAAGATAAACGTCATCTGGTGCTTCACCCTGAGTAGCTCACATCTGATAAGGAGCAACTGCATTCCTCAAATCCATGCCAACTTAAAGAGCTCCACCTTCAGCCTTAAGTCTTACAAAGATGCTTCTGCTTATGAAATCCTTTCTTATACATGAACTCCATGACACCCCCCCATAAAAACTCGTTTTAATATTAGCTCATTTTACAGGCACGAAAACAAGGTCTGACCAATCAAGACCAGAAAGAATTCAATCACAGTCAACTACCACGCACGAATCCAATCTGAGGTCCTCTGATTCCAAATGGTATACTTTTCTTTCATTTATTTATTCACTAATTTACTCAACAAATATTTACTGAGTAACCATATGTAGTAAGCGCTGGAAAAGCGATAGTAAACGAGGCTCAGACCAAACTGACTCCTGTCCTAACATGAAACCAAGCTGTTACCTGCTGTTAAGACCCAGGACAAATTATTTAACCTCCCTAAACCTCAGGTTTGTCATATGTAAAGGGGAGATAATGTCTACCTGGCTTGATGCACAGAGCCTGGCATTCGCGAACGTGAGAAATAACCACAAACGCAATTCATTACAGAGAACTAGGACTAAGTAGAGAGCGGTTCCGGTTAAAAAAAACGGGGGCCATGGCGGCTAAGTCGCCCCCAGGAAGGCCAACTTCTGTCAGCCCCCAACCAGCCCCGACTCCGCGGAGTTGGGCAACTCTGCGCGCGCCCGGTACTACGTTGGGCAGACTCGCCGTCTACCCGCAGACTTCAATCCCCGGCTCCTTTGTGGTTGCTCATGGGAGTCCCCAGTAGCTGTCAGGGAGAGACGCGCACACACAACCCCGGCCCCCGCGCCGCCAGGAAGGCCAGGCTGGAGGAGCCGCCCAACGGTCCAGGCCAGGATGACCACTGCTTTCGCCCGCCGGGAGAGGAGACCCAGGCGGGGTCGCCCCGATGCCACCATTCATCCCTCGTGGTTCACCTCACTGTAGAAGGTCATAAACGCCTCCTCTGTGCTGCCTCCGCCGCCAGAAGCGCCACTCTCGCCTGAAGCCGCCATTTCCCTGGGCCAGCCACCACGTGACTCTCCTGCGCAGGCGCTGGCTCACGTGACTCGTTCAGGCCCGCCTCTCTAGCCCCGCCTCCTTCCTTAGGACCCTTAAAGGGCCGACATCCCAGTCGGAAATTGGAAGGATTTTTTTTTTTTTTTTTTAAATCCTCACCGGAGAACATGTTTTCATTGATTTTAGAGGGAAAGGGGCGGAGAGGCAGAAACATCTGACGGTTGCTTCTCGCATGTGTCCAACCAGGGATGGAACCTGCGACCTACGTAGGTCGTCCAATCTGCACCCCTTCAGTGCACTGGAACGACGTTGCAGCGCCAACCAACGGATCCACACGGCCAGGCCTCTAGTTTTGGGTTTTTTGTTGTTGTGTTTTAAATTGAAGTGAAACACATATGACATACAATTAACCACTTTACAATGAATAACTTATTATCATTTAGTACATTTACATTGTTGTGCAACCACAGCCTTGGTCTACTTAAAAAACAGTCTCTTCATCCCAAAAGGATATCTGGCACCATCTAAACCCTTCCCATTCCCCCTACTTCCCAACCCCTGACAACCGCTCTGTGTCCCTGTCCCTGTTCTGGACATTTCACAGCCATACAATATGTGACTTTTTGTGTCTGCCTTCTTTCAGCTAGCATGTTTTCATGGTTCATCTAAAGTACTGCATATATAATTACGTTGTTATTTTTTATGGTTGTCCTGTGTGTATATACCACAATTTGTTTATTCATTCATTAGTTGACAGGCATTTGGGTTGTTTACATCTTTTGACTATTGTGATAATAGTGCTGCTTTGAATACGTGGTACCTGTATTTGTTTATCAGTTTTCATTTGTGGGGGCGGGGGTAGTGTATACCAAATACCTAAAGTGAACCTGCTAATCATATGGGAATTCTATATTTAACTTTTTGAGCAACTGCCAAGCTGTTTTCCACAGCAGCCGTAATATTTTACATTCCCACCAGCAATGTACAAGGGTTACAATTTCTCCACACCCTCATCAACACTTGTGATTTTCCATTTTTTTAATTACAGCAATCTTAGTGAGTAGAGGGGTCTTTTGTACATACTTACTAAGACCCTCCACTGGATGCTGAGCCTCCAAAAACCGCAGAATCTGAGAAGTAGAAATAGAATTTCTGAAAATGGAATGGTACTTAAAGATGATCTAGACACACAACAAATTATTATCCCTAGGTAGTGGGCTTGTAAGTGATTATTATTTCTACCAAAAACATTGCTTTTGTGTTTTTTCAAGTTTTTTGCAATAAACATTTGAAAATGTGCTCCACAGGCATTTTTTCCCATCTAAGTCATAAAAATGAGGGCTGGCATTTTTCCAACTAAAAGATGATTAATAAAAGCAGTTCTACTTTGACTAAGCAAAGACTATAAACTACTATTGTCCTGTTAACGTTTGTTAGATGACTGAAGGAAGGTCAAGGCAAAATTACTTAGCCTCCTACTTATGCTCTTCACTTCACTGCACCACATTGCCAAAAATCCAGTTATCATGCCCATTTGATAACATATTAATTCACTTTACAAATATTAATTCAGTACCCGATTGATCAAGGCTCTGATAACTTCAAAAGGTGAAAGTGCAAAGAGAAAGAGAACAAAACAGGGAGCTATGATAGAATGACTAAGGTCAGGGATGGTTTCTTTGAGGCGATATTTAAGCTAAGACTGGAGAGTAAAATGGCAGTGCAAGAAAAGGACGTTGATACCTCATAAGAAACCATATACACGTACGTATACAATGTTTCTACCCACAACTCAACCAAATCTGCGTATCCTTAACATAGATATCCCCTGCCCCAACCCTAGCCTACAGCATCTTATTGACATTTGTATTTTATTCTTATAGCATCTTATTGACTCTAGTGGTCCAGGAGAGGGAAGGCTTCCTTTGAGTGTTTAATAACAACTTTAGGATCGGAATCATGGGGTAAAGGAGGACGCCATGTTTCATTCTGATAACCTCTGACCCCTCTTGCCCCGCCCCTCCAACCTCCTCCATTATTATTTTCTAATCCTCTGGCCCCAGAGACCTTGCTCGGGGTTGGCTAAGAATAGGCCCGCCTCCCTCTCAGGATTCGCTGTGAATTACAGGAGCCCCTCCTTCTCCCTTTCCTGATTCGCTCCTCATGGCTTCATCCCGGCTCTCCATCGAAAAGATTGGCTGCCTGATCGTTAGGGCCGTTAGGGCCTACCGGGAGTCCGCACCGTCTGCCTCTGGAATTGGGTTTCACTGTCAACCATGGCAGTCACGACGCAGGTGGCGCGGGCGCGGCTCTCTGTGTGGGGCGTGAGGGCAATGCAAGTCCGTGGCTTCGGCTCCGAAGAGGTATGCCCGTGGCAGTGTCTGCTGCCCCAGCCCAGAGCGCGGATGCTGTCTCTCCCGCCACACTTTTACCCATGTCCTTGTCTCTCCGCAGACTAGCAGTGCGGGCTCGGTGAGGGACGCCGGTGGGGCCTTCAGTAAAAGAGAGCAGGCTGAAGAGGAACGATACTTCCGGTGAGGCCCGTGAGTTCCGGAGTCTAGCCCTAGCTCTCTCAGAGCGTTCCAGGCCTTCTTAAACGTCTAACCGTCTTGCCCACCCCACTCCGGGGCCAGGGGGCGCCCCAACCCCCAACAGAACTCCCGGATCCCGGAACCCATTACACCCTTGCCCCTAATGCTCTGCTGAATAGTCCCAGGGCACCCAGGCCAACCCATTTTCACCTGCATGTCTCCAAGGTTCTTAAACCACAGCCCAACTCTTCCAGAATTATTTACCACCCCCACCCAAGGAGTTCTTCCCGGGTCTTGCAAAACGCCCCCCAGGTTCTTTGCATTATCTGGATTCGACTGCCCGATACTTGCAGACCCTTTGAGCCTGACTCCCTCGGACACCATCCATGGCCCCTGTTGACTGTTTTCTCCACCACATGCCTTATAGCTTTACTAGCCCCCAGTGAATTGATCCCCTGATTCGCAAGGCCCTCTCCGCCATTCCTAGACCTCCAAAGGTCTCTGACTCGGCCAGAGAAGGTGGGTCAGGGTAGTTGAGTGCTCCTGGTTGGAACTTCCTCCCCCGCTGCCTGGAGACTTTTGCCCAGCCCCACCCAGCTGGATAGACTCTCACTCTTAAGAGCATGGAGTGGGCCGGACCTCTATATACATTTCTACCAACCCTGAGTTATCTTTTGTTGGCTTCTCTGCACACTGGGGAATAGCACAGAACTAATCTCATTTCTGCTTCTGCTTTGGCTTATCTTTTCACTTCTGCCCCTTCTTGCTTACTCTTAAGAATTATCACCATGGCACCTGCCGCACCAGAACGCCAAAGTATAGCCTTTGGGACCATCTAAATAGGCCCCTACATTTTATAGTTAAGGAAAACTGAGGTTCCAAACCAACATTTGAATCGTTTCTTATTAAGATCTGAATTGGACTGCCAAACACTGCCCATGCAATAGTCCCACCTTTCCCCCACCCCCCTTCTTTTTGGCCTTTACAATGGGCCTTGAATTTCTCTAGGCAAAAACAACCCTAGATGAATTAGGCGAGATTGCAGACAATGGCCCTTTAACTAGACTCCTTTGTCTGTTCTCCCTTCATTTCCCCAAAACGGGATTCTTTTCTCTTGGTTAGTCCTCTAATGAGGTATTGGGGACTTTAGTCACACCTCTCTGGGGTTTTCTGCTCTAAAGAGGAATCTAAAAGGAATAGTTCATGAATGGTGAAATTTCAAGCACTAGCACCAGAAAAATGAAATCATTTTGGTCATCTCCTAAAGATGGATACATCTTAAGATGGATTATTCTTTCACTAGTGGGGCTTGAACTGGTAGAGGATGGCCAGCCAGAATGCCGTGGGATTGGGACTCCTTTGCCTTAGGTATTGCAGGTTACGCTTAGAGATCTTTTTGGGGTGACAAATTAGGATTAAACCCAGAGCCATTGTGTACTTGTAGAGCAAAGACTAGAGAACAACTGGCAGCCTTGAAGAAACACCATGAAGATGAGATCGGTCATCATAAAAGGGAGATTGAGCGTCTGCAGAAAGAAATTGAGCGGCACAAGAACACCATCAAGAAACTAAAAATCCATGATGATGATTAAGTGCACACAGTTCCCCATAGAATGGCTACATATTGCCCACTTCTATGAAGACATAATTCTGGTAATTAATATCTATCTGTGCTGCCAACAGATTATAATAAATTGTCATCAGTGAACTGTGTAATTCCTTCTACCATCTGGAGAGGGGAAGGGGTACACACAGTACTGGACTGCAAAACTGAGTCAGACGGGGTACCTGCATTAGGGAGCTTAAAGACAGAGCACAATATGATAAATGTTATGCCACACAGAGGGTTGGAAGGAGGCAGGTGTGACATAGGGAAAGGCCCCTTTCCTTGTCTGATATTAATCAGAGGTTCAGAGACAGATTCTGGAAGGGTAAACCCCAATTCAAGGTCAAGAGCAGCCTGGAAAATGAACGATTGCCTAAAAGATACTATTTAAGGCACCATCAGTCCACACTGCATTTATAAAATGGTTTAGAGAATTTTTCACGTGAATTAGTTATCCTTGTTCTAATTGTCTTTGTACAGATTGAGAGAACTGGAATTAGAAATTAGGTATTGCCAAAGGTTACTCAGTAAATTGGAGTTGAGATTTGGCATCTTGGTTTTTTGACTCTTATCCAAGTCTATTAATAGCAAAGGTCCAGAATTATATCTTAGGTTATATTTTGCTTTACCAAGTGTGCTGTTGTTCAATTAGGCTTCAAGGCCTTGTTTAACTAAATTACTTTTTCTTAAGATTTTATTTTATTTTCAGAGAGAGGGGAAGGGAGAGAGGGAGAGAAACATCAATGTGTGGTTGCCTCTAGCATACCCCCAACTGTGGATGTGGCCCAGAACCCAGGCAGGTGCCCTGACTGGGAATCAAACCAGTGACCATTCAGTTCGCAAGCCAGGGCAACATTTTATTTTTAATAAATGTCTAATGATGATTGAATAAAGCAAGCAAAAAAGTTGAAACTTTAAAATGAACATGAAGCCCTGGCCAGTGTGGCTCCGCTGGTTAGAGCATCATCCTGTAGACCAAAAGGTCATGGGTTCGATTCCCGATTGTGGGTTTGGTCCCCAAACAAGCAACCAGTTGATGTTTCTTTCTCACTCCCTCCCTTCCCCTCTCTCTAAAAATCAATAAGCATGCCCTTAGGTAAGTGTTTTCAAAGAATAAAAATGAAGAATCATAAGCTTGAATTATTTTTTACTCATTTTTTAAAGATTTTGTTTGTTTATTTTTAGAGAGGGTGAGAGGGAGGGAAACATTGATCATTGCCTCTTGTATGCATCCCAGCCTGGGACTGAACCCACAACCCAGGCATGTGCCCTGACTAGGAGTTTAACCAACAATCATTTGCTTTGTGGGACGACACCGAACCAACTGTGCTACACTGGTCAGGGCAGCTTGAATTCTTAAAAAGGCAAAATGAATAATTTTTGGAGCAGCCTAATTTAAGACTACCAAGTACCCACGATTCAGCAGCATCTAGGAACCTGTTACAAATGGAAATTCTCAGGCTCCAGCATAGACCAGCTGAATCTGATGGTCGGACCCAGCAATCTGTTTTAACAAGCACCCCAGATGATTTTGATGTGCATTGACGTTGGGGGACTGCTGTACTACAAGTACAATAGTTTCTTAGGAAATTTACTGGCCACCTTGGGCATAGAACATTTTTGTAAAAGCATTTATTAAGTATAATAATGATACATATTTAATATAGTTCTTAATGTGAATGCTATTTGACAGTTTAAAAATTAAAGTATGTTAAGAATTAACATTTTAGAACAACATTTTGCAGAATTCAATTTGGAAAAGACCACACTGATTTATGGCATTAGTTAAAATTCTTTTTTGTTTACAAGTAACAGAAACCAGCACTGGCTGGCTTAGGGAGAAGAAAGAGTAATTTATTAAAAGAACAGGGGCAGCCCTGGCTGGTGTGGCTCGTGGATTGAGTGCTGGCCTGTGAACCCCAAGGTCTCTGGTTCGATTCCCAGTCGACCCATGCCTGAGTTCTGGGCCAGGTCCCCAGTGAGAGGCATACAAGAGGCAACTGACCCATGTATGTCTTGCACATTGACATTTCTTTCTGTCTCTCCCTTCCTTCCCCTCTCTCTAAAAATTAAATAAATAAAACCCCTAAAAAAGAAGAACAGAGCTATTATTGTCTCAGAATTGATTTGGACAAACAAAACTTGGAAAAGGCAGGGGCCAGAGAACTGCATGAGATCTGTCTAAACAGCTTCCTAACCACCTATGTCAGAATCATTAGGGACACTTTTTAAACAAGATTTCAATGGAATTTCATACCATGAAGTTACTTAACAATTATACAACAATTTATATTTATGGAGCTCTCTATAATTGTTTTGCCCATTAAATCTCATATTTCTGGCAAATATGCCCATACCATTAGTTTAATTTTATAACCAAAGTAACTGAAGCAGGGAACTACGAAGTAACTTTTTCAAGGTCACACAACCAGGCTTGTGCTGAGCAAGGACTTTACTTTAGAACTCCTGGTCCTACAATCTCGAGTCGCAGTTCCATTATAGTGGTTCAGCTGCCTATTAGCTCCTTCCTTGATCTGAGACATGTCAGGGGACTTGCCTGGACATCTGGGTGTGGGTGGTGAAGGGAGAGGTTCCTGGCAGTAAAAGTAGAAATGCCAGTAGTCGGCATTGTGTGAGCTGTGACATGAACCCGGTTGCCTTGTCAGTGCATGCCTATATGGTGCAAACACATTTATTTGCAATAGAGCTCGGTTTGAGATTTTCACATCAGTAAGTACCAAGTTGTAATTCTCAACCCAGGCTGCACACTGAAATAATTAGGGAGCTTTAAAATTAACCTAACGCCTCAGCACTGATTAAATCCAAAACCGTGAGACTGGGGCCACAGCATGAGTATTTCCAAAAAGCTCCAGGTTTTTCCAATATGTGGCTGGCGTTAAAACCACTGGTATAAAGGATCCTTCCAGATCTGCTGCATAAGCTATGGGCTGCAAGTTGTTCACTGCATAAGGACACGTAATTGAAGGGGCCAGGGAGGACTGAAACTCAGCCCACATTCTGCTCACCAAACTGGACTCTAATTTAGGGTGATATTTGTGCTGAAAAAGACTCACCTTTCCTCGTCTAATTTCCACAAAAAGGACTCTTGGTCATTCCACTATTCTAGAAGATGCATATTCCATTTTCAGATTTTTTTTAAGTGTATTCATTAAAATTCATATTTAGCATCTACTATATGCTGGACACTTGATATACACTAGGATTACAACTATGAAATAATCAGCTCCTCTCCTTGTGGAACCCACAGCTGTTTGGGAAAGACAAGTGGCTAAACAACAATGTGGGAAGTATTCTCATGGTAGTGAGTGCAGAATGCTGGCTGGGGGAGCGGTCGGGTGCGGGGAGGCTGGGGAATACTGGACAGGCACCAGCCAGAGCTGGGGCTTAAAGGGACCTCATGGTGAAAGAGGTGTAACAGCAGCTAGGTAAAAGGGAGGTGATAATATTCAAGGCTGCGTGACAGCATTTGAAGAATGGGTTATTGGGGGATTAACAATAGATCAGCCTGTGCATCTGGAGCATGGAAGGGAATGATAGGGAAGGAGGAGGTAATGTGGTTGGAAGTCCTACCACTCTTCCAAGGGCTGGGTTGGCCATTAGTGAGCTTAATCACTGTCCTTCCTTTCTTTCCAACCGCCCTCCCTCCCTTTCCTCTTCTTTCAAGGTATAGTCCTTAGGTAGAGCAGGAAACGCCTAAACCACTTGTACTCAAGTAATCTTTAACTTCAAGCACTGGAAAGGAATAAAAAAACCTTGGGAGTGGCAAAGGAAGAATGAAGCATGGAGAAACATACCACTGCTTCACTTGGTGCCACCTGGCACAGCCTCACAATTAGCAGATTCCATAGATGTCTCCTTGTTCATCACTCTTTTTTAATTGAGATAAAATTAATCGTTAACCATTCAAAGCATAAAATTCGGTGGTATTTAGTATATCGAAATGTGCAAGGCCCTGGCCAGGCAGCTCAGTTAGAGTGTCGTCTGATACGCCAAGGTTGCAGGTTCGCTCCTCAGTCAGGGCACATACAAGAAGCAACCAGTGAATGCATAAGTAAGTAGCACAACAAATTGATGTTTCTCTCGCTTGCTCTCCTCTCTAAAATCAATAATAAAAAAATTTAAGTCTTGTGCAAACATCACCCCTAGCAGGCTGAGATATTTTGATCATCCTTCAAATTCCATAACGATTAAATAGTGGCTCTCCATTCCTCTCTTCACCCAACTACTATTCTGCTGTCTGTCTCTACAGACTTGCCTGTTCTGAATATTGCATATAAATGGAATCATATAAAATGTGCCCTTTTGTATCTAGCTTCTTTCATTTAGTGCTGTGTTTTCAAGGTTTATCCACGTAGCATGTTTTAGTACTTCATTCCTTGTTTATGGCAGACTAATATTCTGTTGCATGGATATACAACTTTTGGTTATCCATTCATTAGTTGATAGACATTTGGCTTGTTTCCACCTTTTGTCTGTTGTGAATAGTGCTGCCAAAAACATTCATGTACAAGTATTTGTGTGGACATCTGTTTTTAGTTCTGTTGGATACATGCCTAGGAGTGCAATTGCTGAGTCATGTGTTTATTCTATGTTTAACTTATTGATGAACTGCCAGAGGTGTTTTTTTTTTTCATGGCAGCTGCAGCATTTTGTATTCCCATCAGCAATGTATTTATAAGAGTTCCAGTTTGTCTACATCCTCACCAATACTTGTTGTACCTGACTTTTTGATACAGAGTGAGGATAGTAAGAAGCTAGAAAAATTCCTTGGCAAGTGGAATGAGGGAAACAGACAAATAGTTAAACAAAGCTTAGCAATTAACAGCCTGCTAATAAACCAGAAGATCTTATCTTCCTTAACCAAGGCCATTAAGGAGCAAATGATTTACACCTCTCCTCACCAACCAGAAAGTGAGTAGCTTAGATCACCTTAGTCAAGGAGACAAATCACAGAGACCCAATTAGTGCCATTAGTGCCAGCCAAACCCCAGAATGGATGAAGTCAGGGGAATAAATGACAATAACAAGTACAAAATTAGAGCCAGACAAATCCAAGATAAAAGTAAAGCAGTGAAGCTGAC